CTTATACAGTAGACCCAATAAATCTGTGCCAAATCTGACTGCGTTAAACCCGTCGTTTAAAAAGTGCGCTCAGAGTAAATTGAGAACCGATTTGATGAATTTATAAATAAAATAAACAAATGTATTATGTAAATAAAAGGCCTGTATACGTGAATATGGGCTATTCCACTGATTTAAATGATGCCTGATAGAACGTCACAGGTTTGAAGGCACGCGGACGTTCTAAAGAATGTTGACATCATAGCGGCCATTCCACGGTGAGCAGAGTTACATTTGACAGTCGCCATTATCGCTTGGTGAATCCAGTTTGTAGTTGTTGTTGTAATATAACCCCACTTTTTCAACATGTGGTCTAACACTCAGTCCGTGCCAGAACATCGAGACGTGAGCTCTCCTAAGCGTCAGATGAAAGTTTCAGTGAAAAGTGTCAGCTACTTTTTACCTGTGTCTGATCTGAACGCCAATGCTGGCCGTCCCTCGTCTGATCTGCCCCATTCCTGGAGCAGTTCAGTGAGGATGGACACAAGTACACCTCTCCATCAGCATGAGGTTGTATGCTCAAACCTGACTGTTCTGAAGCTGCGCCATGTTCCTGTGAAACCTGCTGAGAAGCAGAAGTTCACTGATGGTCATGGACTGCCAAAACGTCGAGGAGTGAGGTGTCTTAAACATATGATGGAGGTTTCACTGGAAGACATCTGCTATCTTTCATGTGAGCCTGACCTAGATGCCAGCGTTGACCATTCTTTATCTCCTCTGCTCCATTCTGAGAGTCGAGAAGTGAGAATGGATAAACGTACACCTGTCCGTCCTCATCCTGATGCGCCACGATCCAAACTGCCCATTCTGAAATCAAAGTGTGTTCCTGTGAAGCCTGTCAACCAGCAGAGTTTCACAGATGAACCCTCAGAATGGCTGGGCGTGGACTCAAATCATATGAAAAAAGGTAGGCCTCCAGTGAAAAACATCAACCCTTCATGTGAGTCTGACTTTAATGTCATTGTTGCCCCCTGCTCATTTTTTGTGCCTCTTTCAGGGAGCCAGTCAGTAAGAATGGATAATTGTAGGCCTCTCCGTCAGCATACTGATGCTCCACGATCAAAACTGCCTGTTCTGAAGTCAAAGTATGTTCCTGTGAAGCCTGTCAACCAGCAGAGTTTCACAGATGAACCTTCAGAATGGCTGGGCGTGGACTCCAATCATATGATGAAAGGTACAGTGGAAAACATCAACCCTTCATATGAGTCTAACCTCAGTGTTGCCCCTTGCTCATTTTTTGCTGCCTTTTCAGGGAGCCAACCTGTGAGGATGGACAAGCGTACACCTCTCCGCAAGCATTCTGTTGCTGGACGCTCAAAACTGCCTGTACTAGAATCAAAGTGTGTTCCTGTGAGAGTAGGCAAATCCCAGCATCCTGCTGCTGTTTCCACACACTCGCCTGTTTTGAGGCGACGCTGTGATCCTGTTAAGCTTTTGAGCAGACAGAAGATCATTGACGAAGCTCCAGAACGTCAAGTGTCCAGGTTTCCTCCACTAGTGAATAAGGCAGAGAGGAACGGCACTGACCCGTCATGTGGGTCTGATTGTAAAGTTAAGTCTCACCTGTCCTTACCCAGCCTGCCACGTCTTACAAGTGGAGTGAAGATGGACGAACATGTGCCTCTGCCTGTTCCTGTGTTTACAAATTTGCCTGCTCTGAAACCAGCTCATGTTGCTATGCGACCTGCTCTTCCTTCAAACTTCATGTTTTTCCCACTTGATAATGATGTCAAGATGAAGAGGACTCGCTCAATAACAAGAAGCCCTCCTCTGCTTTCAAGATTCCACTCTGCAACCTATTTTTAGGACTGTTCTTGTTTTTTGTGTGTCATTAAATGTTGTCAAACTTTAAAATTATTCTTTGCGTTGTTCTTTTTTAATGATTATTTGTGTATTAATCAGTTATTTGAGCATTAAGGAATGTCACATTTTTGTGGGTCAGAAAGATTTTCAGCTTGCTTTAAAAGGTTCCATCACCTTGCATAAATTATTAAATTAATCTTAATAACATTTTATTTATGATAATGTTTGACAAATTATGAAATGAGCTTTACATTTTCTTTTTTCATTATTTAAAAGCCATTGATTTGAAAATTAGTGTATTCACATGTATTATACACAAATATAAAGTTCTAACAACTTGCAATATGTCAGCCTGTTAAACAGACAGTCGATCAAAATAAATCCAAATATCAAATAAATAAAATGAAACTCCCTTTATTTGTCCAAAGGTAGCAAAATACATCTATTTATGTGTAAGTTTAGCATAGTGAGCAGTTAAAATTGGTCTCTTTTGTCTCTTCTGGGTTTCTAAAACAGATTGGGATCCGAAGTGACTCACAACAGACATAAAGAGATGCCATTTTTCAATAAAACTTCTGCTATAAATTAATTATCATGTTTGTTCAAATGTTAATTATGTAAAACAGTGGGGGGTCCCCCCACAGTCCAAAAACATGCAGTACAGGTGAATTGGATTGGCTAAATTGTCCATAGTGTATAAGTGTGAATGAGTGTGTATGGGTGTTTTCCAGAGATGGGTTGCAGCTGGAAGGGCGGTTCATTCCAATGTGGCAACCCCAGATTAATTAAGGGACTAAGCTGAAAAGAAAATGAATGAATGAAGACTGAGTGTAATTCTCAATAGTTTTGGCCAATGCAAACAAATATTTTTCATGAGTCCAACATCCAGCTGAAAACACACAATCTGACATAAGATGTCATCTTTCGCTATCTTTCGCTATCTTTCGATATACGCCTAAATACAGATTCAGGTAAAATAACAGTGCTGGTATTGTTGGATCTCAGTGCTGCATTTGACACTGTCGATCACAGCATACTTCTGGATAGGCTGGAAAACTGGGTTGGGCTGTCTGGCACGGTCCTCAAATGGTTTAGATCTTACTTTGAAGGTAGAGGTTATCATGTCAGTATAGGTGACCATAGGTCGAGGTGGACACCCATGACGTGTGGAGTCCCACAAGGCTCGATTCTGACACCTCTCCTGTTCAACCTTTACATGCTCCCTCTGAGCCAAATAATGAGAAAGAACCAAATCTCCTACCACAGCTATGCTGATGACACTCAGACCTACCTAGCCTTACTGCCTGATGACTACAGCCCCATTGACACCCTCTGCCAATGCATTGATGAAATGAACTGTTGGATGTGCCAAAACTTTCTTCAGTTAAACAAAGAGAAAACTGAAATGATTGTGTTTGGGAACAGAGATGAGGTTCTCAAGGTAAATGCGTACCTTGGCACTAAAGGTCAAACGACAAAAAATAAGGTCAAGAATCTTGGTGTAACTCTGGAGTCAGATCTGAGTTTCAACAGTCATGTCAAAGCAGTCAGTAAACCAGCATACTATCATCTCAAAAACATTGCAAGAATCAGATGCTTTGTTTCTAGTGAAGACTTAGAGAAACTTGTTCATGCTTTTATCAGCAGCAGGGTGGATTACTGTAATGGACTCCTCACTGGTCTTCCTAAAAAGACAGTCAGACACTTGCAGCTCATCCAGAATGCTGCAGCCAGAATTCTGACCAGAAGCAGGAAATCAGAGCACATCACACCTGTCCTCAGGTCTCTACACTGGCTGCCAGTTACATTCAGAATAGATTTTAAAGTATTATTACTGGTCTATAAATCACTAAATGGCCTAGGACCTCAATACATTACAGATATGCTCACTGAATACAAACCCAACAGATCACTCAGATCTTTAGGATCTTATAAACTAGAAGTTCCAAGAGTTCAGTCAAAGCAGGGTGAATCAGCTTTCAGCCACTATGCCCCCCGCTGCTGGAATCAGCTTCCAGAAATAATCAGATGTGCTCCAACATTAGGCACATTCAAATCAAGACTGAAAACACATCTGTTTAGCTGTGCCTTTACTGAATGAGCACTGTGCTGCGTCCGACAGATTGCACTATCATGTTTTTCTCTTCTTCTTCATTCTTTCATATCACATTTTACCTGTTTTTATGTTTTGTTTTGTTTTTACGCATTTTTATTATTTGTTTTTATTTTTATTTTACTTGTTTCTTTTATTCTTGTTTATGTAAAGCACTTCGAATTGCCATTGTGTATGAAATGTGCTATATAAATAAACTTGCCTTGCCTTGCCTTGCCTTACTGTATTGTTTCTAAATACAGAAAACAGTTTACAGGTTTAATTCTAAATCTTGGGCCTTACTCTTGATACAAACAAATGAGCAATAAAAAAGTTTCAATACTAATTTGGCGATTGTTGTTATTCTTGAATTTTCAAATTGACTTTTTTTTTTTTTTTACAAGAGAGGCTTGATAACTTGTAAAGCTCTACATTATTATTGTTATTTTTTATTCAAATGGTAATTCTGACTGGGGAACGTTGAATGTTCTAGCCATTTTGTTATTTATAATTTGCCTAATAGACAATAGGCTGGTTTTTAGATTGAAACTGATTCATATATATGTTTTCTAATGATATATGATGTCATTTATGTGTGATTGTGTTTTTTATATTTTTTATTGTAAATCTTTTGTAAATATTTTTGGTAGAAAGGTGTGGTTATGATGACCATCTGATAAGCTAAAAAAGTAGCCTACTTAAAATGTATTCAAATCTCATAATTAAATTGAAAATGAGGCGTATAATAGCAAAAAAAGGTCAACTTTTTGAGAAATAAAGAACCACCCAATTTAACGGTCCGGGCTGGCTACAGGCCTGTGCTGTGCTACATATAAAATACATGTTTCAAATTCAACAGTATGAATAGTTTTTTTCTGCTGCAGTTGCTAAGTTTTATGATTAGGGAATCTGATGATCAGTTTGGGGGGGATTTTATTTACAACGTTTACACCATAGGTTTACCCACTCCACCTTGCAGATTCCTGAAGAGGTTGCCATGGTAAGTGACGCTGCCAGTTGAGTGGCGCGTCCAGACGGGGGCGATGCGATGCCCGCTTCATTCAACAGATCAGCGGTGAAACTGAGCAGAGCCACAGATGAGAGGCGTCTGCGAGAGCCAAACTACTGATTTAACGCTCATCCGCGCCCCTGCTGCCGTCCTGCTACACAGAAATATGAAAACATGGTAGTAAAAACCAGAAAACCAAGTGCCAAGGAGCAGAGCAGCGAGAAAGACAGGAGTCAATCCGTGTCGGGGAAATGCAGGCGCGGAAAAGATGGGAAAGGCTCGGCTTTTCAGAGTAAAAACGGACTCTTTGCTGGGTTTATTAGAAACAGACTGGGTTTGAGCCCCTCCGCTTTTGTAAGAGGAATAACAGTGCTGATTCTCGGTAAGAATGTCTGCTTTAGCTGCTAGGTAGCTAACGGTTATTTGGTTAGCATCTAGCATGCTTTCAGTGTTTATAGGAGCTCGGATTGTAAACAAAGTTGTGCAAAACCCATATTTCATTTGTTTGGTATGAGATTAAATTGATAAATGTAATTAATGACCTGATTTAATTAATAAACAATAAATTAGAGGTTTAAAACTGTGGTTATTGGGCAATGCTCGGATGTTTATTGTAAGTTTGTTAGCAATCAGTCAAAATTACATCATTTCACTACAGGTATTTGCCATTCATATACTGACAGTTCCTAAGATTTTTTCTTGTCAACTACTTACAGTTTTAAGTATAAAAATTATTTATCAGAATCTTTCATCTGCTTTAAAAGTACAGCTTGTTCCTCTTCAATTGTTTTGGTTGGTCAGATAAAAGTCCCCCAAATGTGGCCACGTAGCAATCTGACTGACCTGCAAATAATTCTCTCAATATGATCTGTTTCTCTTTATAGCTGTTGTTGCAGGTTTTTTTCATTGGTAAGTAGCTTTTAATCTTTAAAGTATGCAGATACCTTTCTTCTTGTGACAGAATAAATGAAGTCTTGTATCTTTCAGGTATCATCTCTCACATCTGTTTGAAAATGACAGACATTTTTCACACATGTCTACTTTAGAGAAGGAAATGGCTTTTCGAACAGAGATGGTAATTCTGCTTTATTTTTAATGCGTATATATATATATGTATTAAATAAATATACACTCACTGGTCACTTCATTGGATACACCTTACTAGTACCAGGTTGGAGTCTCTTTTTCCCTAAGAACTGCCTTAATCCTTCATGGCATAGATTCAACAAAGTACTGGAAATATTCCTCAGAGATTTTAGTCCATATTGATATGATAGTATCACGGAGTTGCTGCAGATTTGTTGACTGCACATCCATGATGCGAATCTTCCATTCCACCACATCCCAAAGGTGCTCCATTGGATTGAGTTCTGGTGACTGTGGAGGCCATTTGAGCACAGTGAACTCATTGTTATGTTCAGGAAACCCATCTGAGAGGATTTGTGTTTTATGACATGCTGCGTTATCCTGCTGGATGTAGCCATCAGAAGATAGGTACGCTGTGGTCATAAAGGGTTGGACATGGTCAGCAACATTACTCGGGTAGGCTGTGGTGTTGACACGATGATCATTGGTACTAATGGGCCCAAAGTGTGTCAAGAAAATATCCCCAACACCATTACACCACCACCACAAGCCTGACACAAGGAAGGATGGATCCTTGCTTTCATGTTGTTGATGCCAAATTCTGACCCTACCATCCGAATGTGGCAGAATGTCATCAGGACAGGCAACTTTTTTCCAATCTTCTATTGTCCAATTTTGGTGTACCTGTGCAAACTGTAGCCTCCTTGAGTGGTACCTGGAGTGGTCTTCTGCTGCTGTAGCCCATCCGCCTCACGGTTGGATGTGTTCAGAGATGCTCTTCTGCATACCTCGGTTATAACGAGTGGTTATTTGAGTTACTGTTGCCTTCCTATCAGCTCGAACCAAGCTGACCATTCTCCTCTGAGCTCTGGCATCAACAAGGCATTTGCACCCACAGAACTGCTGCTCACTGAATATTTTCTTTTTTCGGACCATTCTCTGTAAACACTAGAGATGGTTGTGTGTGAAAATCCCATTAGATCAGCAGTTTCTGAAATACTCAGAACAAGGTCATCTGGCACCAACAACCATGCCAATTTCAAAGTCTCTTAAATCACCTTTCTTCCCCATTCTGATCCTCGATTTGAACTGCAGCAGATCGTCTTCACCATGTCTACATGCCTAAATGCATTGAGTTGTGATTTGCTGATTAGAAATTAGCTTAATGAGCAGTTGGACAGGTGTACCTAATAAAGTGGCCCATGAGTATATGGGTCAAAGTGGTTTACAAGTGTCAAAACAATGATAGTGCAGATGTACATTTTCGCCTACACTGGAATGTGTCTTGACGTATGTTTTGACATTTTTATTATTTTAAGTAATTTAAAACAAAGTGGACACTTTAATTTGTTAATAAGCTTTTCATGCATATAAACTCATTTTTATGTCTATAATGTGATGACGACACCAACATAAGTCATCTCATCTCTGACCTAGTTAAATATACAGCTTGAATGAACATTTTGGTTGCACTTTATTGTACTGTATCCTTGTTACAGTGTAATTGGACATCCAAGTACTAAGTGATATTAATCACACGCTCACTTTCCTTCTGCTTGCTCCCTTTTTTATACTGAGTAATATTGATTATCCACATGCATTTATTATAGAGTTAGGATTAAGGTTGGTATGTGCAATACATAATGCTACTGAGTAGATCACAATGGCTTTTTTTTCTTATTAGGGACTGTATTACTCATATTTCAAGACAATCATCGAGGCTCCGTCCTTTATGGATGGTCTTTACATGATCATGAATGACCGTCTTACTGAATATCCGCTGGTCATCAACACCCTAAAGAGGTTCAACTTGTACCCTGAGGTGGGATGTCCTGTTTGGCATCTTCTAAATATCAAAGAAAAGCTTTTATCCTGCACTATTTGCTTTAGCTTAAAGGATTGAGCCATTATGTGAAGACTGTGTCTGTTTGATCTATCTCCTGTACGGCAGGTGGTCTTGGCCAGCTGGTACAGAGCATACAGCAGCACAATGAACTTCTTTGGGTTCCCCACCAAGTTATGTTGGACCATCAACAGAGGAGAGGGTCTGGATCCAGTGGAGAGTTGTGAAGGTATTTGAGCAGTCCAAATATCACCTTTTTTGTATTTGCAGCACAGTACTTTACAAATATCACTATGAAAGTGCGCAGTCTCCTTTAATTTTCTTGCTCTCCTAGAAAGGTTTTCTTCATTGTGCTTGCCATTAATCTGCATGCTTTAAAAACAGGTCACTGCTGACTTTTGTGTTGCAACTTTTACTTCTCATCACGAGGGAGGGTTTATTTTTAGAGTGTTGATGACAGAAGGTGCTGTTTCTTTTTTCGTTGTGTGACTGACAGACTAGTTTTCTAAATTTTACTGACACGGGTGTTTTTCACAGGTCTGGGAGATCCTGCATACTTCTATGTCGCTTTTGTGTTCCTGTTAAATGGGGCTATGATGAGCCTATTCTTCATTTATGGAACATATCTGAGGTAATGGAGCCTTGATGGCCTAGATTCTGATCTCAGATGAGAGTTCTTCAGTTTATACAGAAAAAGCAGTTTGATTACAAATTGATGCAGTTGTTTTTGGCTCTTCCTACAGTGGAAGTCGATTGGGCGGCACTGTGACAGTTCTGTGTTTCTTCTTTAACCACGGAGAGGTAAAGGAGCTTTGCTTTCTTAAGCATGTGCTGTCCTCCGATTAAATCCTGATTTAAGGGCTTAAATTAAAGAGATTGTAAACTCTTGAATCTCAGAGCACTCGGGTCATGTGGACGCCACCTTTAAGAGAGAGCTTCTCTTACCCCTTTCTGGTTCTTCAGATGCTTCTGCTCACATACATCCTTCGGTAACTTGCTTTCTTCCAAATGTTTGGTGTAATCTATCAGAGTTCATATTCAGCCTTACATGCTCAAGTAACATACTATGAATATCTCAATACTTTGTATATATTCTGGTGCTTATTTAATATCTACCTGATTATTAGTCATATGCTTGTTCTGTACAATTAAGATATTTCCTGTTCCTTATTTTTAATTTTGGAAGGACAAAGAACCCAAGTAAGAATACCATGATGGCTCTGGGGATCTCCAATGTTTTCTTTATGTTGCCCTGGCAGTTTGCTCAGTTTGTCTTACTTACTCAGGTGAGTGATAATGGATTACATAATTGTAACTCATATTCTTGTGTCTGAGGCCCTCTTATCCAGGATATATGTGGGGTCTTAAGATCTAAAAGCTAAATTTTAGGCCTTAAAAGTTTTAAACAGAGTTCATACAGTCATGGAAATCTTGGTAAAGTCATGGAATTTTGACATGGCATTTTCCAGGCTTGGAGAAGTTTTTGAAAAACAGAAAAACCCACGAAGTTTTGGATTTTATAATTTAGCAGATGTTTATAATAATCTGCCGACAGAGTAAACAAAATAATCTTATGTCAAAAGAAAAAACAAGATTATTTTGCTAACCCCTTTGCCAGATTATTTAGCTTGTATTTAGGAAAAAATCACTTAATATTTGCTTGTCTAGAAAATTGTTCTTGATATACGAATTTTAAATATTTGTAGTAGAAAGAAGACAAACTAAATCTAAGTAAGAAAAGCATGTTTTGGAGTGTACACATTCATAACCAGTGTTTTTTTGTAAGGTAATTAATGAACATCTCACATTTATGTAGTCATTCAGACATAAAGAACATGTTTTAGAGCAGTAATCACAATACCTAGATACCGTGAAGTCGTGATATTTTTATTCAAGGTTGTCATACCGTCAGAATCTTAAACCAGCCCATGGCTATCTGAGGTGAACTATCTGCTTCTGCTTTAAATAGTAATAAATTGTGTTTTTGCTAAAAATTGTGTTTAAACTCACATTAGTAGCATTTAACACTGAATAAAGCACATAATCTGTACCTGAGGTGATCATTGTCTTTGTAGTTTATGCTGTTGTTTTACCGTGACGTCACAGAAATAGAAACCGGCAGATGATTAGGACAAACTTGTTTTATCATAAATAAGTTGCCTGTTATGGTGTTGTATGTAGTTATGACACAGTGTAACAAGTCAGCAATATTTAGCGAGAATAGTTTGCAGCAAAGAATGCTATGACAAGAATGTTTGTGCACTTCACAGGTTGCTTCCCTTTTTGCTTCATATATCCTGGGATATCTGAGTCCAGCAAAAATGCAGTCCATTTTAGTGACACACATGGTAATGTAAAGTTCTAAAGACTTGACTGATAGAGCCACAATATTGCTCGGTAACACAATATTTTGATGGTCCATTTGAGTATTAGTAGACTGTCTACTTAAAATCAGCTGTTACTGCTCCTTCAACAGACATTTAACTGACTTTAAGAAACTTTGCAAGTACATGTCAACTTACACTAACCCTAACCCCAATCTAACAGTCTACTTATAATCTAATGCGAATTAGTTGGCATGTAGATGCAATGTAACTTAAACTCAAAAAATGAAACATCAAAATAAAGTGTGACCTATTGCTCATGTTGCATTGCTGATTCACTGACTGCTCCTCACAGGTCTCCCTGGCTGTCTGCTTTCTTCTGATGTTCGGGAACTCGATGCTTCTGACGTCTTTCTACGCCTCTTCGTTGGTATCCATTTGGGTGAGTTGGACTATCTTGGTACTGTGTTTACACCCATTTGCTACTTGCTCAGGAAAGCACACAGGGTAGTAATGATGGCTTCTAAGGGCACTGAAGCTGATATGATGAATGTTTTCTTGCAGAGGAAATGATAGTTAAATAGCGCCAAAGCCTGACCAAATAAGTGCAAAGTGCATACAAATAGATGTGCTCAAACACAAACATGTCAGGTTCACTGCTTGCTCTGTTTTTGTTTCAGGGGGTTATTGCACTCAGGGACCGTCTGGTTGGTACATTCAGACCTGGCCTCATCACGTGGGTAAGGGGTCATTTACACTACAACGTTTTCAGGCAAAAGCAGTAAACCTTTTTTGCTTTTCGCAAGTTTGTTTAAACTACAATGGCTTTTAAAGATCCCGTGAAATTAAAATAAAGTTCTTTAGATGTTAGTTTTAAGAATATCTATAATCTAGTGTGCTCCAAAACAGTGACAAAATTTGTGTTTAGAATATATAACACTGTTATAAACATGCCAGTTTTACAGTTTGTCACTTCTGCCTTAATGGATCAGCATTTATTTGTCTCCCACATCACCTCATACTTCAGTTTCTCATCAAATCTTGACCAATCAATTGCTCTCTAGCATTTGACTTGTTCCGTCCCCTTCTAGACACTTTTCATTTGATGTGCTTGATCTCAACCGCTCTCAAGCTGCGGTCACACTGCACTTTCCATTCATACACACGCAAATGCGTCAGACCGGAAACGTAAAGTTGTGCGCAAAGTTTCGCAGTTCGCTGCGTTGGAAAGTTCAAGCTTGTTGAACTCTAATCTGCGAAATCGCATCATATGAGTTCGATCGAGGATCAAAACTTGACCTCTCTGGACAGAAATTTAAATATAAATCAATTGCTCGCTTTTTTATGTCTAATAATCTTGTTTAATCCTGTCCCTTTTTGCAGCGATGTAGGACAGAATTTTGCAAGCTCAAACTCTAGTGTGACCGCAGCTTCACTGGCAGAGCTGTGTTAAAACAAAATGCTATTGGTTGATTTCAAAAAGGGGAGGAGCTACTCTGTCCCACAACTCTCTTTGTGTGTTTAGTTGAGATTACATCAAACGCAGAATAAGGGGCAAGTTTTTAGAGTACACATTTTAGGAAATGGGCATTATCTTTTCCATGTAAAAACTCAAAAAGTACTATGGCCCAATACTAATTCTATTTTTGTACCCCTACCCCTTCCCACGGTCCTTAAAACTTAGTGTGTGAAGGGAAAGAGCTTAAAAATTTACCCCTAAGAATTGGGACAGCACTACAGTACCTACACATGTTATCATATGTCATCGCGGTCTCTTGCTTCAAATGAGATCAGATGATCGCGGGTGCTGTAGTTTTGTTATTTTTTGGGTATTTATTTTCAGGAAATGACTGAAGGCAATGATATCATGTTATGTAATGTGGCATTAAGATTGTAACTATACTGGACATTTACACAGTGGCCATATTCATCTGTTTAAACACACGAAAACAACATTAACATTATAGCAGAGACTGTAAAAAGATCATTCCCAGACACTAGACTTTTCTGACAGGGCATTCGATTGTCTCGAGTGTCAGAATGTTGTGGGACAGCTGTACAGGAGCTATTATTATGGATTATAGATAGCGACATTTAGCGTTTTTTTATTTTAGTGTTTTTATTATTTTTTTAAACATGAGGGTAAAACACGAACGCAGTTATGAGTGTATTAAAACATTTAGTAAGAACTCTCCGTCACTGTGGTGATCATCGAAAAATCTCTTTACTACTGCAGCTTGCAAGCAGTTAAATACACAGTTTAGTCGGCAGTGCTTATTAGTAAAGACAGAAACTGCCATTAAAGGTTACCCAACCATTTGTTAGACTAAAAACATACTGACACACATTCAACTGACAAATATGCATTACTATGGAGACATAAAACTGTATTTCACAAATAGGCAGTCACACCTGATGTGCCTATCACTTATAATTTGCATTACTTTGGATAAATGATACTGTCAGAATGCATCTTACCATGTAAAAATTGATATATATGTTTATTTATATTTTTAAAGAAATTTGTAATATTTCACAAATTGAGAAAATGACTTAAGTACACCACATACACTCACATTCTCAATAACACATTGAAATACAGAAACTCACTGCAAATTAGTGCAGATGACAACAGAAATGTGTTGAGGGACCCCAAAAAGTGACTAACCCATCTGCTTCCTGTTTAAGTCAGTGAGATTTGAGAGGTCAGTTTTTTTGTTTGTTTGTATATTTACTTACAGTTGTCGTCTACAACTTACAGCTGTTCTTAGGCCCAGTTTACACTAATACATTTTCGTTTTAAAACGCAAAACGTTTTGCTACGGTTATGCCATCTGTCCACAGCAGAGTTTTCTGAGTCCGTTTTTGTTTTAAAACGCTTCTGTTCTGTGTCGGTGTGGAAGGGGAAAGCTGAGACATCTGAAAACGCAGGCATGGCTGCAGACATTCGTCTAATCTGATCGGGGCTTTTACCTCAATATTAAATGCACAAAGTTCAGTCTTGCATCCTCTCCTTGTAAGTTCAGACTTTGCAAGATTGATAAGGAATTCAAACTCCCGAGGACACATCGGGTAAAAACAATGTACTTCATAGCGTCATTTGTATCACACTGCCTACGTTGTTTCAGTTAATACTTAGCATCTTTACAATAAAATAAAACATGATATAATAAACTGTCAATTTTCATTTTGATATCAACAGCTTAACAGACACCAAAAATGTTGACGCATTGCGTAGCTACATATTATATGACCAACATCTTCACTGTATGCATATTTATATCAAAACGAAGCCGATAACATACCTGGCTGCTTTCATTTTTAGTGAAAAATATGAAAAATACCCTGTCTCTTTTGCTGAATATCAGTTTTAGTGATCAATAATAATGGCCATTGTAAAAGTATAACGTACAATAAGTTTATACATTATAGAAAGTAAAGGAAATCAGTCAAATATGCAGAATTAGTGTACATGGTTAGATAAATTAATATAACTTATCTTTGCCCTCAGCCAAAAACACGTTACCGGAGTACAGCATGAAATACAAATTCATAATTTCATACATCAGTATGCAAAAGGGTCTATATAACACTTATATATGTCATTATAAAATGGTGAAATGAAATGGTCATTATTACGCTTTTCATATTTCATAAATTATAACGTGATTTCACAAAATGAATAGTTGTAATACTAGACTTTATAATCAAGTACTACAGACTATACCTGTTACGATTCCAGTGAAACAATAGGATCAATCAGGGTCTTATAGGCTGACCTAATACTCGACACCTTTCCATTGTGCTCTGTACAATTTGCCGCATGTTTCTGTATTTGCATGTTTTCAAATTGATGAAGACGTCATTAGTGTTTTTCTGTTTGCGTTTTCTTAATTTGCAAGGCTACTTTTCATTAAAAAGGTAACCATGCCAACCACTAACCTCTGGCATGTGTAATACAACTGCATTCAAAAACTTACTTTTGTTTCTAGCAATATTTTTATGTTCAGTCTACATACATTTGTAAGAAAGATTAAGTTTAACTTGATCGATCTGTGTTTGGACAACATGAAGGAATTGTGTGGAACCCAGCATTTTTACAGTGTGTTTGTTGTTATTTGCTAACGCCAATCATTTTGAAAACATTATCATGTATATGTGAATTTTTTTTTAAAGCACAAATTAGTTTTTTTCGTGCAAACGTAGCTTCAATGTTGACTACTGTATCAATTAAAAATGCCCGAATTTATTAAAAAGAAGCAATTGTGATGTGTTTGTTAGGTCACGCAGTGCTTTGCATGGGTGGTTTCCACTGTTATTCTGAAGTTCATGCTGTCTGTGATCTTTGGAGCGTCAGATGATGTGAGTAAAATAAGAGCGTCTCTTGCTCTGATCATCAAACCTGTGCACATTAAACTCTGATTAATATGAAGTAGGGCTGTACTGATACACATTCATAACCAATATATTTCTGTAGGCTCATGTATGAACATCTAATATTCATGTAATCGTTTAGTTACCGTTTTAACTTCAAAAAGTCAGTAGGAATGCTTGTAAATGTTATGTTAATTATAAATAAAATATAAATCAATTGCAAATAATAGTTTGTGCTGTGATGATTTATGTTATAGTATTTAAATATCATTATAAATGTTTATTTGGACTTAATGTGTGTGTATTTATTATGCACTGTGTTTATAGATACACATGCATGCATATGTTTGATGAGATGTTTATTTATATTTTAGAAATAAATAATATATGTATATGATGCAAATTGTATATCTATTAAAAAAATCTATGTAACAATTTGTTGTATAGTTTTTTTTTTTTTAATGTATGTATACTCACAGGCCACTTTATTAGGTACATCTTACTAGTACTGGGTTAGACCCCTTTTTGCCTTCAGAACTTCCTTAATTCTTCGTGGCATAGATTCAACAAGGTACTAGAAATATTCTTCAGAGATTTTGGTCCATATTGACATGATAGCATCACGCAGTTGCTGCAGATTTGTCCCTACCATCCGAATGTCGCAGCAGAAATCGAGACTTATCAGATCAGGTAACGTTTTTCCAATCTTTTATTGTCCAATTTTGATGAGCCAATTTTGCAGCCTCAGTTTCCTGATCTTAGCTGACAAGAGTGGCACCCGATGTGGTCTTCTGCTGCTGCTGTCCTATCAGCTGGAAACAGTCTGGCCATTCTCCTCTGAGCTCTGGCATCAACAAGGCATTTACTCTCACAGAAATGCCGCTCACTGGATATTTTTCTTTTTCCCACCATTTGAGATGGTTGTGCGTGAAAGTCCCAGTAGATCAGCAGTTTCTGAAAAATACAGACCAGCATGTCTGGAACCAATAAACCATGCCTCTTTCAAAGTCACTTGAATCACCTTTCTTCCCCATTCTGATGCTTGGTTTAAACTGCAGCAGATTGTCTTTACCATGTCTACATGCCTTAATGCATTGAGTTGCTGCCATGTTATTGACTGATTAGACATTTGTGTTAACAAACAGTTGAACAAGTGTACCTAATAAAGTGGCCCATGAGTGTATATCACGTATACATAATGAATATATATAATACATACACATTAATTGTCAAAACAGACTTTTATTGATGTGATTAATCTTTGCCCAGCACTTATTATAATAATAATAATCCGGCTTTTGATATTTTTCTCTCTTTTCTTTTTTTAAACTAGGCCCACATTAGCAGTCTGATCAAATCCAAGTTCACAAGCTACAAAGACTTCGACACGATGATGTACACATGTGCGGCCGAATTTGACTTCATCGAAGCAGATGTGAGTAATGTTTTCCTGCAGCCTATCAACGGTTATTCTCTATTTTTTCATTGTACTTAATGTGTTTGCAGACTCCTATCCGGTACATCAAGACCATGCTGCTTCCAATTAATGTGCTGATAGTGGCTTTTATTGCTGGAAGGGTGAGTTGTTTTCACTTTGATAATGGATGGTTTCCGTCTCCTGTGTCTGGTGCCCTGGTTTTATCTATTTGCCCCCATAGTCAATGTTTACAGTTTTCTGACATTTTGGATAATCTGTTTATTGAAAGGCCACTAAGTAATCTACATATTAAAGTTCTCTTTGTATGCTTCCTCCTTTTGCTTCCTGAGTACAGACCATACAGGACGTCATTGTGTTCCTCAGAAATGAGAAGCAAGAAAAGTCAGAGGATGATGAAACGGAGCAGTGAGTATGTTTTGTTCGGGCTGATCTGCAGCACTTTATTGTCGTGATCAGGACAGATTCGTGAAATGGTGAAATCTGTGACAAAAGGAAAAATGTCAATATACTTTTTGTATTCTGTCTATATAGTATATAATTTGTCATATTATGTTTTGGGGGCAGTTTTGTTCTCCTAAGCTGCATTTATTTACTTAAAAATACATTACAAATTGTAACATTTAGAAATATTATTGCTTATATTTGTAAGACCCCTAAACATTGGTAGTGTATATCATGTTTCCATTAGACAGTTTGTTTAGATAATTAAGCCTACTGTCTAAACTTTGCCCTTCATTTTTTCAGGTCCCATCTTTTGGCGAAGGGAGTGGTAAGAGTAACTTTTCATGATTTCAACTAAAATGATAATATTTGAATTAAAATTAGTTTATCTATGACCGTGTTTCAATTGTGTGACTATATCTGAATATTTTAACAACTGATGGTTGGGTTTAGGGTTGGGGAGTAGGTAGAGGTTAATAACTATGATGGTTGGGTTTAGGTTTAGGGAAGGTCTAGATTCCTGCAGAATTCAGTTGCTACCCATATCAAACACACCTGAACCAATTAATTAGGACCTGGACACCATGTGATAATTACAGGCAGGTGTGTTTGATATGGGTTGCAACTGAAATCTGCAGGACGGTGGCTCTCCAGGAACAGGGTTGGCCACCCCTGGTCTAGATGCTAACAATGATGATGTTTGGGTTTAGGGTTGTGGTAGGTATAGATGTTAGTAACTGATGGTGACCAACACTGATCCTGGAGTTCTACCTTCCTGCAAATTTCAGTTGCAACCTATAACAAACACACCTGTCTAATTAAATCAAGTGCTGTTCATGTCCTAAGTCATTGGTCACCAAACTTGTTCCTGGAGGGCTGGTGTCCTGCAGATTTTAGCTCCAACCCTAATCAAACACACCTGAACAAGCTAATCAAGGTCTTACTAGGTATACTTGAATCATCCAGGCAGATGTGTTGAGGCAAGTTGGAGCTAAACCCTGCAGGGACACCGGCCCTCCAGGACCGAGATTGGTGACCCCTGTCCTAAGTAATTAGTTCAGGTGTGTCTGATCAGGGTTGGAGATGAACTCTGCTGGAAGGTAGATCTCCAGGTACAGGGTTGAGCACTACTGATGTACAGCGCTATCTTGCCAACATCATAGTTTTGACATGGGTCTCCATAACTTCAAGTTACGCCAATAACGTACTACAAGTTACGCCACTTCATGTTACACCTTTGTCCTGCAGTCTGTAGACAGACCCCACTCCAAAAAAGGGAGCAATATTTTTAGAAATGTTTATATTCATTCCAGACAACACTTTACCAATGTCTTAAATCATTATCTGTGGAATAACCCTGCATTTTAACAAATAAAAACAGAAGTTGTCACTTTCTGAAGAAAAATTTTAAATTTCTACACAAACTCACAGCTCAGACCTGAAGAAATTCAGAAATTTTAGGACGTCACTTAAATTTTTTTTCCATAGCTATACGTACCAAGATTTGTGTTATGACATCATCTAATGCAGTGGTAGGAAACCTATGGCCTGTGAGCCGCATGTGGCTCTTTGACCAAAAATGCGTGGCTCTCCAGTAATCTCCCTTCAAAAATATTTTACAGTTTAAAAAATGTAAATCGTCAATAGAAATCAGTTTCCTATTGAATATACAATTACAATTCCCTTTTAATTGTAACTCTTTATTTTTGAATAAGAACTGAATATCTTAATAAATTAACTTGAATCACAACACCAATAAAGAGCAAACAGCTTTTGTAAATTCAAACAACATTTATATGTAGTGATGATAGTGAAAAGAAAAAAAATCTACTAATTGTCTTTTCTTCATTAATGGACTGCTCAGCATGTACATTTACATACCCCAATGGCTCTAAAAATCAAGAGTTCCCGACCCCTTATATAATGTATAAGTTGTGACTGATGTAGTTGATATTTAGAGGTTGTCTTGTTTTTGCAGCTGGTTTACCACAGTCTGCAGCTGGTGGCGTTTGCAGTGTTGGCTGTGCTCATCATGAGACTGAAGCTCTTCCTCACTCCTCACATGTGCATCATGTCCTGCTTGATCTGCTCCAGACAGGTCAGTCCACCACAGTCTGAGTATATTCAGAATGGAAAAAGGCTGATTTTTGCCTAGAGCTTGTAAATGCTAATCCTAATAAAGCCTTTGGCTCTTGATCTGCAGCTGTTTGGCTGGATTGGTGAGAAGCTCAAACTCCAGATGACTGTCGTGGGAATATTGTGCATCATGGCAGCGCAAGGAGTGGTGAATCTGCAGAGTCAATGGAGCATCATTGGAGAATTCAGCAACTACCCTCAAGAAGAGCTCCTGGAGTGGATCAAGGACAGCACCAGCCCTAGTAAGAAACTACCGATTTTTACATTTACTGTCTTTGCAAATTTAGTGCTGGAATCAGACAGCATGATGGTTGTTTCATTAAATGGATGAAAAGATTTCATGCCAACTTCATTCTGACAAGTGTGTGACTGTTGTATTCATTTGATCTCCCTGTAGCTGCTGTGTTTGCTGGCGCGATGCCCACTATGGCGAGTGTGAAACTGTCCACAGGGAGAGCCATAGTGAATCACCCACACTATGAAGATGCAGGATTGAGGTAGACATCATGTAACTCACATTTATAGTTTTGGGGATAGTTAAATACCAAAAAATAAAAAACAATAATCAACATCAAAGGCACAGTACATCATTTTCACCACTAGAGGGAGCATATTTATAACAAACAAACCCTGAAGGAATTAATGATCAGGGACATGGCATAACATTGGTGGAGCTTTTATTATGCCACAGTCCACCGCATCCTGTTCTTCCACTCATTCAGTGCTCTTTTATATATTTATTAACTGACTTCAAGAGGATCACATGCTTATGATGGACACAGCTGGTCAAGCATTAGCCAATTCATGATTCACCAATCAGACAATTCTTAAGTCACTATAAGTATCCTAAGTTCCATATCAAAGCCATTTTAATTTTGAAGAATCCCCCCTTTCACCTCCTCCTCCTTTTTTGCTAGATGGGTGGCACGGTGGCCCAGTGGCTAGCACTGTTGCCTCACAGCAAGAACGTCACTGGTTCAAGTTCTAACCAAGCCAGCTAACGTTTCTGTGTGGAGTTTACACGTTCTCTCCATCCTCACATGGGTTTCCTCCGGGCCCCCCGGTTTCCTCATACCGTCCAAAAACATGCAACTTAAGTTAATTGACTAATCCAAATCAGCACCATAGACATGCTCATTGTTAGTAGTTATATCTTAAGAGCAATCACTATCTGTTCATTAGCTACTACGGCTGGGGAGTTCCGAGATCAACCTAAGATCAAACTTCTGTCTCGCCCTCCAACGGGAGGGAGCCCTGGGCTCGAGGATCTTATGAGCTCAGGGCTCTCTCCCGGGACAGCATGCTAAACAAGCTTTATAATCTATCATCAACTAAGTGTGAACTCTTGAAATACATTTTAAGCTGACAACATATATATTTTTAGAAAAACACACAACATATTAACACTAGAAATACCAGAATTTTATATCTACTACAAAATGGGTCACTCTGACCATTCTCATAAAGACATCATATTGTCACACCCCATTCACATTCAAAGCTTCCATTGTAATATTAAAATTTAAATGTCTGTTGTATCTGTTGTCATATTTAATTTAGTCATCACCTTAAAAATACAATATTTTTGGTAATACAGCCTATAAATGGCTATTGTAGACTACCCGCGAATTTCACAATTGTTCACAAGTAGTGAAGAAGGCTTTTTCACGGCATTGAAAATGCTCTTTTGAAAGACACATTTGAAGTAAAGTTATTTTTTTGCCATCAGAAGGGAATATTTTTGTTAGCAGGAAGTTGCCAGGCAACAGAGGCTTGCATCTTTAAAGTCACAGGGGAAATTAGCAGGCAATAAAATCTATGTGTGGTCAATTTGATGGCTATGGTAGATAAAGGTAGAAATACACATAGCTCTTTTGTGTAAATAGCTCTTGTTGCATAGCATTGCATAGCTCTTGTTGTCATTGTAAAGTGTTTAATATCATTTGTCAGAGCGAGAACAAAGATGGTGTACGCCATGTACAGTCGAAAGCCTGCTGAAGAAGTTAAGCGAAACTTAATAAAGCTGCAGGCCGACTATTTCATCTTGGAGGACTCGTGGTGCACCAGACGCTCCAAGTAAACACCTCACACTTTCAGATTTTACTACGGACTTTGATCATTTCTTCAGTCTAAAAAATGTATTTCTTTATTTCCAGGCCAGGCTGCAGTATGCCTGAGATCTGGGACGTGGAGGATGCAGAAAACGCTGGAAAAGTGCCGCTCTGCACACTCATGTCAAGGGATTCTCGTCCTCACTTCTCCACAGTCTTTCACAACAACATTTACAAAGTGCTTCGAGTTCCCAAAACAGCGAGAGACGTGAGATAACAGCAGTTTGCCTCCGCTTTTCTTTATAGGTACACAACGCCGAGTATTTTTGTAAAGGTCAGTTGTGTTTTCCTGGTGTCTGTTTTGTTTTGATGAGCTGTACGGGACGTTTAATCTGATCAGTATTGAATCACACGTTCTTTTCTGTATTTATATTATCGGGATGACTGTGACCAAAGTTTTTATTTTTTGATCCATCTGTGGTGCTGCTGTTTGGTCCAGAGTAGCGTTTACGTAGTCATTTCACTTTTTGACCATTTTGTTTTTAGTTTAGTTTATTTGTCTACAGGGTCAATGCACATTTATAAACATTACTGTAAAATGTGCCAGAATTAGCCAAGAATGGCTATTTTTATCTGTAAGTATTAAATATTTTATTCAAACACAAAAAGTCATCTGGAAAGTATTCACAGCGCTTCACTTCTTTCATATTTTTTATGTTACAGCCTTTTTTCAAAATGGTCTAAATTCATTTATTTTCACAAAATTCTACACACAATAGCCCATAATGACAATGTGAGAAAAAGAGTTTTTGAATTTGTTGCGAATTTATAAAAAATAAAAAAGCTGAAAAATCACATGTACATCAGTATTCGCAGCATTTGCTACTTCGTTGATGCACCTTTGGCAGCGATTACAGCCTCAAGTGTTTTTGAATATGATGCCACAAGCTTGGCACACCTGTCTTTGAGGATTTTTGCCCATTCCTCTTTGCAGTACCTCTCAAGCTCTATCAGGTTGGATGGGAAGAAACGGTGTACAGCCATTTTCAGATCTCTCCAGAGATGTTCAATAGGATTTATGTCTAGGCTCTGGCTGGGCCACTCAAGGATATTCACTGAGTTGTTGTGAAGCCGCTCCATTGATATTTTGGTGGTGTGATTTGGGTCATTGTCCTGCTGGAAAATGGACCGTCACCCCAGTCTGAGGTCAAGAGCACTCTGAAGCAGGTTTTCATTCAGGATGTCTCTGTACATTGCTGCATTCATCTTTCCCTCTATCCTGACTAGTCTTCCAGTTCCTGCTGTTGAAAAACATCCCCACAGCATGATGCTGCCACCCCCATGCCTCACTGTAGGGATGGTATTAGCCTAGTGATGAGTGGTGCCTGGTTGTTTCTCAAATTGAATTCTTTGAAGTGAATGCCAGGCGTTACGTTTAGTCTCATCAGACCAGAGAATTTAGTTTCTTTAGGTCTGAGAGTCCTTCAGATGCCTTTTGGCAAATTCCAGGCGGGGAGTGGCTTCCGTCTGGCCACTCTACCATACAGGCCTGATTGGTGGATTGCTGCACAGATGACTGTCCTTCTGTAAAGTTCTCTCTCCACAGAAGAAGCTTAAACAGAGTGACCGGGTTATTGATTACTTCCCTGACTAAGACCCTTCTCACATAATCACTCAGCTTAGATGTCTGGCCAGCTCTAGGAAGAGTCCTGGTGGTTCCAAACATCTTCCGCTTACGGATGATGGAGGCCACTGTGCTCATTGGAATTTTCAGAGCAGTAGAAATTTTCTGTAACCTTCCCCAGCCTTGTGCCTCGAGACAATTCTGTGTTAGAGGTCAACTGGCAATTTCTTTGTCTTCATGCTTGGTTTGTGCTTTGACATGCACTGTCAACCCTGGGACCTTATATAGACAGGTGTATGCCTTTTCAAATCATGTCCAATCAACTGAATTTACCGCAGGTGAACTCCAATTAAGCTGCTGAAACATCTCAAGAATAATCAGTGGAAATAGAATGTGCCTGAGCTCAATTTAGAGCTTGACGGCAAAGGCTGTGAATACTTCTGTACATGTGATTTTTCAGGTTTTTTATTTTTAATAAATTTGCAACAATTTCAAAAACTCTTTTTTTCACATTGTCATTATGGGGTATTGTGTGTAGAATTTTGAGGAAATAAATGAAATTAATCCATTTTGGAATAAGGCTGTAACATAATAAAATGTGGAAAAAGTGAAGCGCTATGAATACTTTCCAGATGCACTGTAGAATTTACAATCTGTGAAGATTTTGTTAAAAAATGATAATAATAACAATAAAAAAGACCTTGTAAAGAAATGTAAGTTTTTTGGACTCAAAATCGTTACCAAAGTGACCTACAAAAAAGATATATATGTATAGATCGAGGCAGGATTCTGATATTCTTGGATTTTTTTTTTTTAATTTAGCAACTCTCTTTTATTAGTCGTTTGTTGTAAATATTGTTTTTACGGAAATCCTGCTCAGTGTTACAGTATGTATTAGAGCTAGTGGTGTAACGGATCACAACTTTTACTGTTCGGATCACATTATGGTGATGGACCGGACCATTTTTTGCATCAGCCAAAAAGACGAGACAAATGTCTTTTGCTTTCCATTTATTACAAAAACAGCACTGCAAGACACTTGGTTTTAACAAACAGAACTGAGAACATAAAATGAAGAAATAATCAGCTGAATAAAAGAAATAGTAAAATATTCAGTAGTGTGAAAAACTCACTGTTGCTGATGATAAATGTAGAGATCTGAAGCCGCCTTTCCACTGCACACAACAAGCATCAGACCGGAAGTCATTCATTTGTAATGCAGAGTAGTCTGGGAGCTGCGTGGAGATCTAATTATCTCCGTATGCAGAAAATTCGAATCTGATTTGAACTGTGGATACGTTGAAATATTTAAATTACTGCAACTAGACCGTATGTGATGTATTCCAGTTTTGTCTGTGCACGCAAGATGAGAAATAGTTTTTTTTTCTTAATTTTTTAATCACAAAAAAAGTTTATATTAAAAACATTTTAAATTTTTTATTTATAAATGAGTAATAAAAATGTTTTATTTTGTCTCCTCGTTTCCTCTAAAAATTTTTTAGCGTTCTCTGAGTTTCTAGTATTCGTTCATTCAACAATGGTAAACACACGGACTGAAGGTTGTAGCTTGCTGCACTCCATTAATCTTTCCCGTGGTGCGCGACAACTGAAAATTCAGTGTGACTGCCACAAGAGGGCGTATTCCAATATTCCAGTCTAAATGTCGTGTGCAGTGGAAAGGTTATAATTTGTACCTATATTTATTCATAGTCTAATTTTCAAAAAATGATTCAGTTATTCAGTCATAAAACGTCATGTTTCATTATTTGATGGCTGGTTATATTAAAATATATTAAATAATGTAATTTGCTGCCTACAACTTTCATTCTTGAGCGTTGTTAAATGCATATGACGGTGGTTTTTAATCTAGCATAAACATCAGTGATTATATCTAAACTGTATCGCAGTACTTCTGTGTTATTTGACTCTTTGTAGACTAAAGACTGAATCTTTCTTGATTTTTGCGTTTTTCAAACAGATTTGAATGCAGCAATTTGAAGGATTAATAAACATATGCAAATCACCATCATACAGTAAATAGTTAATGTTGTGTGGGTGTTGAGATCCTGATATTTCAATGAATAATCTTGCAGTTTACACCGAATGCATTAATGCAGGCTAAACAAGTAGTGACAAAACACCTTTAATAACCTAAGAAACCCACCACAACTACTTCCGCCTTCATTATATTTTACAGGAAAGTCTAAATGCTTTCATATATGGGATTTGAATGATGCGAGAGGCAACCTCTGTGCAATAGTTTTAAATTTAGGATTAGTCTACCAGTAAAAAAAATTTATTAATCTGCGGGTCATGTGTGTTCCATACCATGGGTTGTGATCCGTAGGAATCACAGATCAAATGTGATCCATTACATCCGTAATTAGAGAGGTTGTGAAATGGTATCTTTCTGTTATTGTCGTACTCATTATCAGTGTTCAGATTTTTGCTAGTGTTGTGCACTCTCTTCTGCAAGTTTCAGAAAATGGCAGCCAATGTTTTATCTCATGATGTCATTGATGATAATAATAGTAGGACTGAAATCACTGCCAGAGTTGAATTAAAGGTATCGATCTGTAGCATGTGTTCTGTTGTAATAAAAAAGTGTCCTTTACATTTCATCTGTCATACAAGTGAACTTTTCAACCATTGCTCTATTCCGTTGTTCTCTTTATGTGAAAAAGGCACATTTTGTATTTCACCAATTAAATGTTTTATTTTAAATATTTATTGTGTTTTGTTTTTGAGAAATTGTGCATTTGTGCTTTCACATGCCTACATTTAATAAAGGGACTGAGCCGAAAAGAAAATGAATGAATGAAACATGAAATCTTTACGAGGGAGTTATTAAATCATTTAATTAAAATTTAAAAAAACAAAATGAAGTTATATAATAAAAAAAAAAAATTACACTTGCCATTAAAGTACTGAACCTACACTTAACATTAGATACATTATACATGCGTATACATAAACACGTTGGATATAATCTTGACTACTTTTTATCGTGTAATTTTGACAATGGCTTAACTCAAAATTATGTCAAAACATAATTTACATCATAATTTGCATGCATTCATATATATATAAATACATATATATATATATAAAATGTTATTTATAAAAAGTCTAAATTATTACAAATTAAAATTATGACTGACAACTCAAAGATTAAGGCATAGTGATGAAGTCATAATTATGGCTCAATTTCAACATGTCATGATTTGAAGTCATAATTGTAACGTTCAATCATTTCAACACGTCAAAATTTCAACATAATTAATAATTGTAACCTATTTCATCATAATTTCAACATGTCAATTTCAAGTCTTCATTGTAACATAATTTCAACAATAATGTCATGTCAATTTCAACATGAAATAAAAGTTCTAATTAGGACTCAACTCTAAATTATGACTTATGTTGAATTTATGTCATAATCGTAGCTTTTTTTTTCTCTCAATTTCAAAAAGTCATAATTTCAAGTTAAGTCATAATTGTAACTTATCTCATGTTGAAATGATGAGATAGAAAGTTACAAAACAAATACACTACAAAACTGATCTCAGTTTCAACACAAGTCATAAGTCCAGGAATCTTTATCTTAATTTCAACAAGTCATGATTTTGAGTTCTCAAAATTGTAACTTTATCTCATAATTTCAAGTCATAGTTGTAATGTTTTATCTCAATTTCAACATGAGATAAAAGTTATAATCATGACTTGGCTTGAAATTATGACTTGTTAAAATTATAAAATAAAATGTTCCAACTATGCCTCAAAAAAATTTAGGCAAACTTTAAAATTGGAACTTTATATCTTATGTTGAAATTATAAAACGTTACAATTGACAACTCGAAATTATGATTTATGTCGAAACTGAGATAAATTGTTTCAATTGTGGCTTGAAAAATCGAAATTATGACTTGAAATTATGAGATGATAAAATTCAAATTTTGACAATTCGAAATTATGACGATGAAATTATGAGATAAACGTTATAATGATGATAAGTCAGTTTTAAGTTAAACCATTTTCATACTTTCAAATGATCAAATTTGTAACTTTCAATTTTTGAGTCCAATTGTAAGATAAAAAGTCAAAATGATGAGGTCATTAAGTCATAATTTAGATCTCGTATTTGTGACAATTTTTAGTGAGTCATAATTTTGATTTATTATGTAATTTTAACAAGTCATAATTTCGAGTTAAGTCATAATTGCAACTTTAAATCATGTTGAAATTATGAGATAAAACATTACAATTATGACTCAACTCGAAATTATGACTTGTTGAAATTATGATATAAAATGTTACAATCATGACTCAAGTCATAGTTTCGAGTTAAATCAGTCATACTTTCAAATTATTATTTGCAATATTATTTCATCACACACCAAAGTTTCAAGTCAAATTATAGGATAAAAAGTCAAAATTATGAGAAGCCATTATTAAATCGCAGTTTAGAGTTTGTCATCAAGCCCATAATTTCGACTTAATCTCGTAACTTTGACATAATTATTTTTAGTCAAGACATAATTTTGATTCCTCTTTGAAATCATGACTTGAGTTGAAATTATAATTGTTATAATTTTGACTTTTTAGTCTCGCAATTTTAGATTAGTAAGTGTGTTTTCACACAGTAAGTCATCTTTTTTTTTTCTTACCAAGCAGAAATGGGCTTAATCAGACTTTACCAAGTCTTACATACTGTATCAACAAGGTCTTTTTACATTTAAGCGTATAGCTTCATGTTCAGCACAGCCTGGGTAACCGCTCTCTATATAAATACATTTCATCACGTGCCCATAGCAATACAAACAGTTACAGTGTCCCACCAAATCCATTCCATCTACTAATGATGAGTATAAACATCATAAAAGCGTTTTGCATGCAGTAATGTCTTGTTAATAATGCTAATTCAGCATTATACAAAAAGAAATATAAACCAAACAGTAAATAAAAGACAACAGAGATGGTTGATTAGCTTTATTTCTTTAATAAACAATTTTATCAACATTACAAAAGACAGCTTTTGCTCTTTCTCTTTATATCTGACGTAGCACAAATCTCCTACAGTACATTTTCCTTAATGTTGATTTGGCCAGCTCACGAGGGGAAAAACGGAGCAGAAACAGTTCATGTACACGGTGCAGACAGAAGCTCAACGGCAGAAATACTTGTCCAGAGTCCTAAAACGAGAGCTATGAAGGAAGATACTGACCACGTGTGTTTTCAGTATTACTTCTAAGCAGACTTCTACATGAACTGATCACATTTAAACAAGCAGCTGATTTCCGCCTTCACATACAGTAGTCAGAGGTATTTCATTATTTGATTGTGGGATTTGTGAAAGCTGTGTGAGCGTGCGGGTTGTTTTACGAAGATCAAAACTTTACTTGGCAACTCCTAAAAACATATATATATAAATATACACGTACATAAAAACTTATAAAATAAAATAAACGACAATTGCTTTGTTGGAGTATCATAAATATTACAAAAAAGGCCTTCCACATCTGTAGCATTTAAAAAGATCAAGGGGCAGCGTAGATTATTAATCATTATTTTTAGTCCAGTGTAAAATGAAAAGATTTCTCATTAGATGGAAAGCACGTGGAGTAGTGTGCAAAAAGGGGGGGTTTCCTGAGACTAGATTAAATAAGATGTTGTCAGGCCTAAAGCCGCAATGGCGAGCCTATCTAAAGTGCACATTAACACCAGTAACAGAAGAGGGAAGAAATGACAGGCCAACAACACTGCAGAAATGCTTCTGCCTCGATCAATGACTGTTAATAAATTAGTTGATTAACACAAAGTCAAAATCACAAGTACTAACAATATAAAATACTACTTCATAACACTAAAAATGAACAATGTAAACACATGAAACAAATTGGGGAGGGGGGCTGATATTGATAAAGGGGTAGTTCCCCCAAAAATGATGAAATTTTCTGTTCATTTTCTGATTCTCAGACCATCGGAGATACAGATTTTTTCTCTCTCTCTCAGTAGAGCATTAAAGATTTGTATGGAAGCCTGTTCCTGCCACTGAATTATATATAAAAATGTATAAAAAATTATAAAGTCAAAATTCCTAGTCATAAAGTCAGAATTGAGAGTTATTAAGTCAGAATTGCGAGTTATGTCAGAATTCGAATTCCGAGTTTAAAAGCTCGCAATTCTGACTGACAAAAAATAAAATAAAAAGATTTATAAGACATCCACCCGCTTCGAATGTTATCATTTAATTGAATGGGCATTATCAGCTGATAGATATGGGCTTATAGGGGCCTTCTGCGCATACTGCACAGAAAAAATGATGTCTGCAAAATTGTTGCAAACAATTTATATGTTGAATTTAAACAAACAAATTAAATTTAGTAATGTTCAACTTAATTTGTTTACTTAAACTCAGCACAAATAAATTATTTACACTTACCTTAACAAAAATTAGGTAAATACAAGGAATCATCTTTGATACATATTTTTTAGGTAACCATGCTATTAACGTTCATCCACATGGTTAATCAGCTATACTGTACTAATAAGAAGACTCTGTCCTGGAGGGCCGGTGTCCTGCATGCTTTTGCTGCAACACTAATCAAACACACCTGAACATGCTAATCAGTGTCTTGAAGATCACTAGAAATCTATATGCAGGTGTGTGTGATTAGAGTTGGAGCTAAACTGTGCAGGACGCCGGCCCTCCAGGACCGAGTTTGCCAGCCCCTGAGTTAAGTCATAATTTGCAACTTTTATCTCAATTTCAAGTCATAATTGAAACGTTTTATCTCATAATATTAACACAAGTCATAATTTCAACATGAGATAAAAGTTACAGTTATGATTTAACGTCAAATTATCACTTTAATTATGTTGAAATGTTTTTATTTATGTTGAAATTACAAGTCATAATTGTAACTTTTTTTGTCATAATCTTGAATTAACTTTTATCCCATGTTGAAATGATGAGATAAAAAGTTACAATACAAATACAACACAAAAGTTATCTCAATTTCAACAGATCATAATTTCGAGTTGTCCAAATTGTAACTATCTCATAAGTTCAAAATGTCAATTTCAAGACATAATTGTAACGTTTTATCTCATAATATTTACATATGTCATCATTTCAACGAGGTAAAAGTTACAATTATGACTACTTGAAATGATGACCAATGTTGAAATTATAAGTCGTATTTGTAACATTCTATCTCATAATTTCAACAAGTCCTAATTTTGAGTTAAGTCATAATTGGAAGTCAGATCTGTTTTTACATTACTGTGATGATTGGGTTTAAGGTTGAGGTAGGGGTACACATTAATAAAATATTATTAATGGTAAATTTAATAAATAATATGAATAATTCTCAGCTGCAGCCGGATGTGATCTATAGCCGTTTAACCATGTGGAAGTATGATAACAGCCTTCTGAGCCAAACAGTATACGCAGAAGGCCCCTACTGACACATATCTATCAGCTGATAATGCCCGTTCAATCAAGTGATAACATTCGAATCAGCAGAGACATCCAGAGCAACAGGCGTTACTTTGTTTTGTCTGCATGTTGTTTTTTTTCATCTCAAAATATTAGAAGCATTTAGTAAATCGCCATATTTCATCTAACATCAGCTCTACTGAAGAAAAAGAAAATCATCTCTATCTCAGACTGCTTGAAGGAAAGTAAATGAACAGCAGATTGCATTTCTGAGTGAACTAACTTTTAGACAATTCACAGCAAGTTTGAATTTTTCTGACCTCAATTTATTTGCAGGAATTGATTCAACAGACGTCCATTTGTTCTCATTCTGATCTCATATATTATAATTACATAAATCATCAATAATCTTTTAGACCATCAATTTATTATTTGTTTTTTTAAAGTTAAAAAAAAGGACATTAATTATATTTTTGTACATTCAGTTATATTTTTGACGTGACATTTTAAAGTGTGCTTTTTACACCTTTCTTTCTTTCTTGTCATAACATTTGACGTTTTTCTAATTTGTGCATTTACATATTTTAAAAAAATCAGCACTCTGCAACAAACAACATGTCTAAATGTACTGAAAAAGAACATCTAAAGTGATGATTTGATAACCGGTACCGTTATAAACAGTGTTTGCGTGTAAAACTAACTCTAAAAGACTTTGTCTTCAAATCTATGTTGAGAAAATTAAATAAGAAAATAAAAATAAACAGTCTGGGTGGCTCACAGCACCCTATACCTCTCAAATCATGGTGCGCTTTTCATATTAAAAACAAACTTGTAGAAAATAAAAAGAGCTTGTTGGTTGTGGTTTAAAAGAGAAACTGGGATAAATACACCTGGAAGTCATTTGGCTTCTCTACCTTTGGCTTGACTCACAGATGAGCAGCAGCAGAGCTCAGACTAGAGGGTTCTGGGAAGGACCACAGTGAGTCTCATAGAGATGTCTCTGTATCCACACGCTTGTCCTCTTCATCCTCGTCTTCCACACGGATCTTAATGCAGGCCGTCTTCTCCTCACTGTAAAACAAAGGACAGCTGAAGGCCAGATTCACTCACAGCTTTTCAAGTCTGCCTTTTTCTAAAAGGTATTAGCAACATTTAATGACATCACACATCAGAAATGTGCATAAGCAGATCCAGCACACCCATTTCACAAGCATCATAAACACCAGGAGACAAGTGCATCGAAACGACACGTAAAAAGCTTAAATGTTTTGGTGTTTTTTATGCAATACAGTATTCCCTCGCTATAGTGCGGTTCACCTGATTCAAGTGTTGCTGATTTTTTTTGGTGCAATCTGACATGTTTTTTTAACAGCACATTACGTTCTGCATCCTGATTGGCTGTAGACCACTGTCAATAAATCTCCTCTGTGTCTCCTGTACAGTATAGAATGCGTTCAGCTTGCCAGATTAAAATCTTCGATTGCTAGCAGTGTGAGTTTCAATAAGAATGCAAAAGGATTGTAACTGTCTGCCGCAAAACCATCGTAAAGGGGGTCGCTCACCAGATGTGCTGCGCCACACACCGCAATGCATTTTAGAATTGTAAACAAAGGTTTAGGTCAAGGTACACACACCGGCGCTGCAAGTCAGCAGTGCCCAGCTACGACTCGGAACACAGTTCATATTTCTGCCATGCCACAGAGCGCCATCTGAATAATTTCATTTTAAATAACATGCAAATGTGGGTGTCCAGCGTGTGTTACTTCCAACTGTCATGTGCGTGGTGCATCCGGAGTACAACCCCTTTAAGGATGGAGTCTGCTTCAGCTTTGTGGATCAGTGACTGCAGGAGAAAGAACAATACGCAAGATGCCAACATTATCCACACAAAAGCTATAAAGCTTTCTTAATCTTTTGCAGAAAGCGATGGATGTTATTTTTCATCAAAAGTTTGAAATCTGAGAGTGTTTAAACGAGAGAAAAGTGTGAAAATGTTAATGCCTGTCTGGGAAAAGTGTATAAAGTGTGTAGTGAGGGGTTTTACAGCCTTAAAACATCTATAATAATTGTCAAAAATAAAGCTGACTACTTTGCAGATTTCCACTATTGCGAGTTATTTTTAGAATGTAACTCCTGTGAATAAAAATAAAAACACAATGATTAAAATGACTACTGTAGGAGATGTTGAAATCCTAATTCTTAGTTTTTGTCTCTATGCATTTGCCAGCATTCATTTGATCCAAAATGCAGCGAAAACTAATACTGCAAATATTTTTGAATTCAAAATATCTGTTTTCTATTTTTAATTGACTTTAAAATATACTGTAATTTATCTCAGTGATGCAATATTGAATGTTCAGCATCATTACTACAGTCTTCAGCGTCACCTGAGCATCATAAATCATTCTAATGTGCTTACAGATGCGCTGATAACATTTATAACAAAAACTTATATACAATTCAGATATGGATATTGGGCCATTGTAGGCATGGGACGATTTGTTCAAGGTATACCGCGGTTTGGAAAAGTCAAGGTTTTAAAACCGTCAAAATGTTCTGCTAAATTGTTCCTAAGGTATGGTTAAGAATTTTTATTTACATTTTTTTTTCAGGACAACAGTATCTCCAGAAAAAGATGCCGTTTTAAATTGTAAAAAAAAAAAAAAAAAAAATCTGTGTTTTGAAACAAAGACAGCAGAAGCAGAATTATTCATTTCAATTATTCAGTCTGACATGTTTACTGCTCCAAATATATTTGAAATGTTTCTAAAATTATAAAATATATTGTGTACAAAGGGAAAAAAAGGTTTTGTTTACCCAGACATTTAAAAAATAGATTTTAGAGCAGTAATCACAATACCGTGATATTTATATCCAAGGTTATACTGTCAGAATCTTGAAGGGGCTCATGCCTAGTCCATTGCCTACAGTACTAACATTTTCCACTTTTATATTAGTAATTTTATATTACTGAATATTAGTTTGCCCAACATTTCAAGAGATGCACATTTTAATCAGTCTTCATTCTTTAAAGGTAATATTTGCTATTCAATTTTTAATTTTTACCAACAGTAACTTTTAATTGACATATCATAAAACAGTCCCCAACCCCCAGGCCGCTATCGGTCCGTGGATCAATTGGTACCGGGCCGCACAAGAAATCATCAATTATTTTTGTTTTATTATTATCCGAGTCTGAATGATTCTTTATTTTGAAAAACGACCTTATTCGGTCACTTGAGCACCAAAATTTCACCCACAAGCTAGCAAACGAGTAAGAAACAGACATCTTTGAAAAGTTTCTTTGGGAAGTGGAAATGCCCCATGACGTACCGGCGAACTGCCAAGGAATGGATTCGCAACCCATTTGTCAACAAATCAGATGAATCCAGCATGTCAGTGCAAGAGGATAATCAACTGCTGGAATTCGCAAATGGTGGCTGTTCACAAATCGCATCTTTTCCGTGTGTAAGTTCGTTATTTCCAATGGAGGTGTGCACACCTTGAGAATATACTGACCAATGCCTGAATATCATAAGCTTCCCTCATTAAATAAGCTCCATGTGTTTTTCATACTTAAAAAAGAAAAACAGCTTGAAAAGTCTTCCGGACAGCTTTATGTATGAGCAGAAAATCAGGCCGAGCGCTGAAGCAATGACAGAAAGCAGCGAGAGTTATAATGTGAGAAAAAGAGTTGAACAGCAGGCGGCTGGTTAGAGGAACATCAGCTACCTGGCACTAGCTTTCAATAGTGTTGCAGACTCAGAGCTGTTGCCACCTTTCCACGCAGCGGTTTTGGCCATCTCATCAGAAATGTTAACCACAGACGGGTCAGTGCTGCAGAAAACACACATCAGAGCACTTATGCCTTCAACACTCACACACACACACACACATCTGTTCACCAGTGTCTGATGGTCAATTCGTTAATAAAGCACGATAATGATAATCAAACACCAATCTGCATGTTATTTCAGTCTGTATTTTATGTTGTGATGCAATGATGTTCATGTATGTCATGTTAGTAATTAAAGCAACTTCACCAGTAGATTGAAAGTTAAACATCAAACTCTAGAAGCTAACTTTTTTCATGCAAGACTCGATAGAAGTTATTAGACTGGGTGTAGATAAGATTAATTAACTATAAAAAGAACACAGAAAAGTCTAAGATCTGCTTAAATGACATAATCATTTTTTGGGATTAGGCCTGTCAAGATATCTATTTTTTTGTTGTACGATGCACTACCTGACAAAAGCCTTGTCATCGATCACTTGACACTTGACTTCTAGTTGGTCATTTGGAAAAGTGGCAGAAGATAGATTTTTCAGATGAATCATCTGTTGAACCCACATGAACCCAAGATTCTCACAAAAATCAGTCAAGTTTGGTGAAGGAACAATCATGGTTTGGAGTAACATTCATTGTGGGGGCATGCGAGAGATCTGCAGAGTGGATGGCAACATCAACAGCCAGAGGTATCAAGACATTTTAGTTGCACAGTACATTACAAATCACAGGAGCGGGCAAATTATTCAGCAGGATAGCGCTTCTTCTCATACTTCAGTCTCCACATCAAAGTTCTTGAAAGCAAAGAAGGTCAAAGTGCTCCAGGATTGGCCAGCCCAGTCACCAGACATGAACATTATTGAGCATGTCTGGGGTAAGATGGAGGAAGCATTGAAGATAAATCCAAAGAATCTTGATGAATTCTGGGAGTCCTGCATGAAGGCTTCCTTTGCTGTTTTAGATGACTTTATTAATAAGTGATTTGAGTCATTGCAGAGATGTATGGATGCAGTCCTCCAAACTGATGGGAGTCATACACAATATTCATTCTTTTTCCACTGCAGCATGACTTTATATTCTATACTGTACATTATTTTTGTACAGTGACAAGACTTTGGTCTTAGCAAAGTCAGACCTTACTGTCCTTATTTAATAATTCAAAATCTAAGCATAATCATATTTTATTTTGGTAAAATAAGTGTAATCTAGAGAATTTTGCCTTTCATACAGTATAAGCCACTTCTGATACCAAATGATCAACTATAAGTCAAGTTATTATTTGTTGTTCCTAAAACTTGGATAGACGTCACAACTTTTGTCAGTTAGTGTAGAGATGTCTAAAATGTTGCTAAAATTGTTTTTTTGTTGTTGTTATGTACGGGCGATATATACTGCAACAATGATTGAGGTCATGTTTATGTGTTGTGCGGTAACTCGGTATATTGATTATTGTGACAGCCTACTTGGGATTTCAAAGCAAAATCCCAGGTGATAATGTAAATAGTGTCTTGCATAGATTTATAGTTTCATTTCATCAGATCCAAATATATCATTATTATCCACAGGTACTATTTTGTTTTGCCAGAGAGCCAGTGAAATAATTTCATAGGGGAATTATTACTTTAATTCTGTTACTTGCATATGATAAAATATCAGACCAATTTTAACAACTGACCAATTAGAACCCAGAAATCTAGGAAGCCATGTAATAAGGTAGATTAGTCAGTCACCACTGGTTTGCTTGGTTTAGGACTTGTGGAGCTGCACATTGATGAATTTGCTCTTCAGTGTTTGGACTTCAAGCAGTAAAATTTAAACCACCATCAACAGAACTAAACTGAACTTCAACTCTGAAAACTTGACTGACACGGTTTTAATTGACTAGAAATTCTATGTTAAGCTTCTTTGACACAATCTACTTTGTAAAAGCGCTATAAAAATAAAGATGAATTGAATTAGTGACTGGACAGTCATTTAAACGATAGAAATTTTAGAAATGTTTGTGAAGTTAATGTAAAGAGAGTTGCTCCTCATCCATGGAGTGAAATGAGGCTCCTGAAAGCTGTTAGTGAAGCTTATAGTCTAGCAGCTGTCTGTCAATGAGATGGCCTTGGTTAATCTTTCTCGTTAATGCTGAGAACTAATTTATAAATGAAATATTAAATACCATGTAGGGATGTGCAAAAAACATCTCTTAAAATATTTAGCGACTTTAAAAAAAAAAATATATATATATATAAAATTAAACAATCGTTTAGCTGAATTGTGCTGGTACCTTGAGTGGTTTAGGTCTGTAATAAATAAATGAACATTGCATATAAAAAGGCAGCAGTTAGTCCCTGTCAAAATAAGCGAGTCATTGAATCATGCATTTAACTATCACACTACATTTGGAACTCACACATGAAAATTATAGTTGATATATGCATACTATACATAGTTTGCCAAGATAAACTCAGGGTGCTTTCACACCAAGAGTTTTGTTTTGTAACCTGGTGCGTTTCCTCCTTTAGCAATGCTCGTTTGGGTTATGTGAATCCGGCAATCAATCACGCTTGTATCCGCATCAAAACAATTGAACCGAGATCGCATGTGAGTTGGTCTCGGCTTGATTGAAATGAAATCTGAAGCGGATGGATTGTAGTGAGAAAGCAAAATGATCCAACAAACTAACGAACTAGGCTTTATCACAGTTTGTATTATGGTTGTGTAACAGGCTCATATGACTATATGAAGAGAGAATTACAAGTAGGGCGGGATGTCATCATTCCTACCAGTAAATGTGCATTTCATGTCAAATACGAAAGTGAAAGCATGCTGAACTATTAACGAGAGCTGTTAACCAGTTAAGAACTTTTATTGAAAAATAAATCGTGGAACTCGCAATATGACGAGAGTTTAGTCACACGTGACTTGTTTTAGCTGATATGGACCGTTTAAAACTTTGCTGTGTGAAAGCGAACAGCACCAAGAACAAAGTGCAACACTGTAACAATTTTAATCCCCATCTCAGAACAAAACAATCGATCTACAGGTGTGAAAGCACGCTCAGATTTAGAAAAATATATCATTTTTTTTTAAATCTGAAAAAAATCTCTAAAAGGTTTCACGGTGGCACAGTGGGCAGCATGAAAACCTCAAAGCAAGATTTAACATGTCAAAAAAAATTAACATGGCGGGCAAAATAAATTTCCAATAGCTTGAATTTAGGTCTAATTTTATCATAATTCTTAATTATTATTATTATTCATTCATCAGTCATTTTCTTTTTGGCTTAGTCCCTTTATTAATCGGGGGTCACCACAGAAACGCCAGCTGACCCAGCCGAGGCTTGAACCAGCGACCTTCTTTGTAATGTGCTATCCACTGCGCCACTGGATTGCCCATTATTATTATTATCATTATCATTATTATTATTATTTAGGCATGTCAAAAACAGGTAGGAAAAGATTCAGTTCAAATTAGGCCAGGACCCAAGAACACCTCTAAAACTGACTGTTTTAGTGAACCAATCATTTAATAATTTGAATATATAAAAAGAACACAGCCTAAACTTTTCCTTTATAAACTACTTAATTTATTAAAAAGATAGTTCACCCAAATGAAGATTCTGCCATCATTTACTCAACATTCACCTGAGTTTTTTTTCCTCTGTCGACCACAAAAGAATATGTTATGAAGAAAGCTGGTTCTGTAGCTGTCACCAATTGACTTTCATTGTATTTTTTCCCCACTATGATAGTCAATAGGTACCATCAAAAGTGCGTAATGAAGTTGTTTTCATTTTTGGGTTGTATAAACATGCAATAACACATTTGTAATAGTGCTGATATTTGGAAAAAATATCTTATAACATATGGGATATTTTTGCTCACAAAACTTGAATTATACAACGATTATAATATTACTGTTGACGATGCATATGGCATATCCCATTACCAAGCACTGGAGGGAAATAATGAAGCAATTTTGCAATAGGAAAGGTTGAGCTGAATGAGGTGGGTCAGTAGTTTTCCACCGCTGTAAACCAATGCAGAGCTGACAGAGGTAGACTATCCCTCATAAGCATGCAGTCACGCCCTGATGTGCAAAATACTCTGCGTTAATCAGTAAGTGCTGATTAACACCATAAGCTGTATGCGTTAACTAGCAGGCTTGCTAATAAACAAAAGACCAACCACTCTGCTCGTGTCTTCCTAATATGAGGTGCTGGAGACTACGCTGTCAGATCTGTCTCAAAAGAAACAGGTCCAGACTTACCAAAACACAATGTTTAATTGAAACCATGCACAAATAAATGTCTCAGCTGCAGTATACATATGAGATCCTGCAAAACTCCACCATTTTATGCCTGAACTATAGATTGTCACCAACCTGATTTGAATGGTTTTCTCAGGAATTTCCAGCTGGTCACCACCGTCAAAGGGGATTTCTATTTCTTCTTCTGCCTCCATCATGCGCTGTGCTTCCTGGGTAATAGAAAAGAGATTGGTAAACAATTTTGACAAGAAGGTTGAGCCTTCTTTTCAAGAGCATTGAGGGCCCCAAGCTCTTGTGGCACTGCCACTTCTGTGGCTTCAGAAACACAGTGCACCACAGGCACAAACATTTAACCCGTCAGTAATCTCTGTAAGCAACTAAAAATACACTCACCGGCCACTTTATTAGGCACACCTGTCCAAACACTTGTTAATGCAAATTTCTAATCAGCCAATCACACGGCAGCAACTCAAGGCATCTAGACGTTGTCAAGACAATCTGCTGCAGTTCAAACCAAGCATCAGACAGGGGAAGAAAGACGATTTAAGTGTCTTTGATCAAGGCATGGTTGTTGGTGCCAGATGGGCTGGTTGAGTATTTCAGAAACTGCTGATCTACTGGGATTTTCACGCATAACCATCTCAAAGATTGGTCTGATGGCTATTTTCAGCAGGTAATGCACAATATCGAAGCACAAATCATCTCAGACTGGTTTCTTGAACATGACAATAAGTTCACTGAACTCAAATGGCCTCCACAGTCACCAGATCTCAATCCAATAGAGCACCTTTAGGATGTGGTGGAATGGGAGATTCGCATCATGAACGTGCAGCTAACAAATCTGCGGCAACTGTGTGATGCTATTATGTCAATATGGACAAAAATCTCTAAGGAATATTTCCAGTACCTAGTTGAATATATGCCACAAAGGATTAAGGCAGTTCTAAAGGCAAAAGTGGGTCCAACCCAAAAGTAGTAAGGTACTGCACCGCTGTTGACTGAATGTAAACACAGTTACAAGAACACTGGAACAGGAACAATTCCTTACTTTGAGTTAAATCCTTAGAACAATAGAGACTTTCGCCCACTGGGCTTGGGCCCTAACAATTGCCCTAATACAGTACAGAGGTGTAATTTAAAATTATGTGATTCAATATTAACAGTACCTCTTTTGCTTTTTTCTTTTTGTCATCCTCCTTTTTCTTCTTGCTTTCTGGCATCAAGTCATCCAACCAGCTGAGCTCTCTCTTAGTAAAGCAGAAATCTAGAAGCTTCCGCACAAATACCAGAGCAAGAACCTGCAGAAGACAATTTACAAGAACGAAGTGAAAATACATGCAATAATGGATGTTGACCAGTTAAATCTAAATAATACAAAAAATGTGTGCATGACGATTTATATGAAATATTTTCAATAAACATGGTTAAATGGAGCAGTGTGTAAATGTGCACATACAGAAATGATTATACTAATTATAAAATCAATTTAATCTAGTAATACTAGTGTCTTTAAAGCCATTACACTTTTTTGCAAAAACAATTCTATAAGTTGGTAAGTTTCTTTTTTTAATACACTTTTTACAATGTATAGAATTGAATTGCTTAAATTTTTAAAAGTAAATAAAATAAGTAATTCAGAATAAAATAGTAAACATGAAGTGGATCAAAACCTTTCAAAGTCATAAAACTAATGAACACCCATTCTTGTCTAAGGACAATTTTGAAAAACTTTTTTTTATCTACTTCAAACGTTCAGTTTAGTTTTTTCAACCATATACACAATTTTAATCATGTCATTTATCAAAACCATACATATCCCCATATATTGAGGTTATACTACGGAGACCCAAAAGAATCGTGATTGTGGGGGGAAAAAAACTGGTGGGAGAAAAATAAAATTGGAGAGAGAGTAAAAAAAACTACCATTCCATTCAGTTATCATCCTTTTTCCATATTTCTCCCATATTTTTAAACTTGAAAGCTTGTTAAAATGAATATAGAAATGTCTGCATTTACTATCTATTCATCAAAGCTTTTTGTCGATCGTCGCCCTTCATAAGCAACCTCTGAATCAGCGAATGCATGTATAAGCGCTGACTGACGGACGCGCTCTGTATGATAAACTGATCCCAGATCAGCTTCTGTACACACCATTTAAAGAGGAGCGAAGTGCAGGACACTTTGGGATTTGGGTGTAAACAGACATATACACTTATTAATATGCAAAGATGTCCGTCCTGCATGTTTTATTTTAAACAACAATTTCTTTTCATAAATAAGCACAAACAGTTACTAAAGTAATCGAATGCTTTCATTATAGATCTGTGCATTCTTACAGTGACACTTCTGTTATCAAACAAAAGAGATTCATCTGCTGCTCTTCACTTGTTTGATAACAGAGGTGACACTTTAAATGGCGTGTACAGAAGCTGATCTGGGATCAGTTTATCATTTGGACCGCATCTGTCGGTGCTCTTACATGCATTTGCGGATTCAGAGGTTGCCTTTAAAGGACAATGATCAACCCACAGCTTTAATGAAAAGAAAGTGAATGAAGACATTTTTATATTAATTTCAAAGTACGTTCAAGATTAAAAATATATGAAAAAAATGTGAAAATACTTAATAATAGAATGATAGCGGGATAGAATGGTAAAATACTGGAGAATCCTGACAAAAAAGGGAGGGTTGACATGTATGAAATAAACAGGAAGTGTTTTGCGAGATAACGCAAAACATCTTAGCGAGGGGCGAGGCAGTGGCGCAGTAGGTAGTGCTGTCGCTAGGTAGGTAGGTCGCTGGTTCGAACCTCAGCTCAGTTGGCGTTTCTGTGTGGAGTTTGTATGTTTTCCCTGCCTTCGCGTGGGTTTCCTCCGGGTGCTCCGGTTTCCCCCACAGTCCAAAGACATGTGGTACAGGTGAATTGGGTAGGCTAAATTGTCCGTATGAGTGTGTGTGTGTGTGGATGTTTCCCAGAGATGGGTTGTGGCTGGAAGGCATCCGCTGCGTAAAAACTTGCTGGATAAGTTGGCGGTTCATTCCGATGTGGCGACACCGGATTAATAAAGGGACTAAGCCGACAAGAAAATGAATGAAAATGAATCTTTGCGAGGGAACACAAAAACTTATAGATTTTACTTATACTTACAGATTCAAAATATATCGATTTTCCTATCACTCAGTTTGTTTTTTTCCACCCATTTTTCCCCACCATCATGTCCCTTCCGTGTCTCTGTATTATACTGCATATATATAGCTATGGTATTTTTTTCAAATCTCAAATAACAACATCAACAATATCTGATGTATGACATGATTTTAATGCATTGCACTTAAAAATCTTTTTCTCAAACCAAAATACCTTTTCTTCTTTGTTTCTAAAACCTATTAAAATCCAAAACTGAGGGCTTCATAGAGAAAAACAGGTAAGAAAGGAGAACATATTTTAGAGGAGTTATGAACATCAATGCATTTAAAATTCTGAACGTGTAATTGCCACATATGTAATTGTGATTAATACTTTGTGTGGATAAGAGTAATTCAATCACACAATTAATGGACTGTAGACAAAGTGAAATTAGACAAAATAAATAAATAAATACACAAAATGAATGTTTAAAAGTAGGATTGAATTTTACACATACCATCATAGGAAAGACGACAGCGGCTGCAGACACTTTAATGACCCACAGAAGCACCAGGCAGGTGAGCTGAACTAATGTGAATATGTGAACCTTCCACAGTGGCACGTATCTCAGGTAGATCAGGTCAGGCTGGTGCTTTGCTGGCATCCCAAACAGCTTAATACGGTCAAAGAACTGCAATGCAATAAAGACAGAAACAATGTAACCACAAATTCATCTTAGCTTGTGCTGCCTTTACATCCATTCATTCTGTAGTGAAAAATATAAAAAAATGTGCCAACCTGTATGCCTCTCAGTGAGGAGACACCCATGTAGAGGAACACTCCATATAACACAGGCATTGGTATAAACTATAGAGATGTTAGAAAAAAATAAATGTAAAAACAAAGAGGAAAAATATATAAATAAAAACACAATTAATTTTGTAAAAAAAAATGAATAGAAAGAGGTGAACTGGTATAGTTTACTGAAACTTTCATTTTAAATGTATGTTTTTTACATTTTGTTTAGATTTGAAAACATCAGACTTCTACAGTATGGTTCATATAATATTATATAGGAGAAAATAAAAAATATTCCTTTTAAACTGAGCAAAAGCAGTTATCTAAATCAAGCCGACCAACATCAATGACATCTTTGCAACAGTATAAAATACAGTTGAAGTCAGAATTATTAGCCCCCCCACAATTATTGGCCCCCCTGTTTATTTTTTCCTCAATTTCTGCTTGACGGAGAGCAGATTTTCTCAACACATTTCTAAACATAATAATTTTAATAACTCATCTCTAATAACTGATTTATTTTATCTTTGCCATGATGACAGTAAATAATATTTGACTAGATATTTTTTTAAGACACTTCTATACAGCTTAAAGTGACATTTAAATGCTTAACTAGGTCAACTGAATTAACTGGGCAGGTTAAGGGGATTAGGCAAGTTATTGAATAACGATGGTTTGTTCTGTAGACTATCGAAAAAATATATAGCCTAAATACTAATAGTTTTGACCTTAAATTGCTTTTAAAAAAATTAAAACGGCTTTTATTCCTGCCGAATGAAATCAAATAAAACTTTCTCCAGAAGAAATAATATTATCAGATATACTGTGAAAATTTCCTTGATCTGTTAAACATCATTTGCGAAATATTTTAAAAATAATAAAAATGTATAAATCAAAGGGGGGCTAATAATTCTGACTTCAACTGTAAATATTTGATCAAACTTATACGTTATTTCCTAAAAGTAAATAAATAAATAATTAAATAAATTCATAATTTTAAACCAAAGGGTGTGTCAGTCCAATAAGGGTGTATTTTGAAATATTAGCGATATGTAAATTCTTGCATTTACTTTATAAACATCAGGAAACATTTAGCATCAAAAAGTCAAATGTACCATAATCTGAAGGCAGACATGTTTATATAATGCATCAAGTCTGTATATGCTTTATAATTATGTTATTATTATACAGGCCTTACAAAATGTGTGTATTAAATACTATACAATAGGCTTAATAAGTAAATAATAGCCCTTTTTACACAGGGATACTGGTAAACACCTGGAAAATTTCCGGAACGACTTTACCAGTAAATTTAAAAAAGCGCTGTTCACAGAGTCAAGGACATTACGGAATAGACCATTCACACATCCATTCCAAAATACAGGCAAGTTCTTACATCATTAACCAGAAACGGCAGCGCTTGTATTTGTAAACATAGTAGAGGACGGGCTTTTGTTGATGGTTTCACTTTTATTTAAAGCTTCAGCACTCATGTAGATGCTTTTTTCCTGAAGACATCCAAAGGCAACAGCGCTAATCGCAGCTAAATGTTTACATATCTGACTACATTTAAAATTCTGTGGATGGATGAGTATTGTGAACAACTTTGATGTAAACATACGTAGGAACACTTTCTTTGAACGCAGCTGAACACAGGGCTTGCAGTTAAACTCACAGAGGTTTATCATAAGCATTTTAACAATATTGTTTTTGCACAGTTGGCATTAATAATGAACATAGAAACCTTATCTGACTAACAACTAGCAGCTAAATGTGTCTGGAAAAGTATTCAAAGGCTTTCATTTTCAGAAACGGCACGAATGTGAATGCGTCTGAATGTTCTGATTGGCTGGGGTGAATGCGCTCTTTCCGGCAATTTTCTTTCTGCGTTAACACAGAGCAGCAGTCTGGGAAATTACCGGTAATATTACAACTCTTTCCGGAAAATTGCCAGAACAAATTTATTCATATTTTCAAAAAAGGGCCTGTTCACCCCTAGAAAAGCCTGTATGTGTGAAAGAGGCTTTGACTACACAAACTGAGCCATACCTTGAGTATCGATGTCATAAAAACAGAAAGTCCCATAAGCACAAAGATCATGAGGCCGGTGACCCTCTGCTCACGGATGCCAAGGAACTTGGGCTGTTCTCCTGGAGCCGAACACTCCGACTCCACCTTCAGACTGTTGACATGAGAGATGGAGAGGACTGTGGCAGCGACAAACCAGGGCAAACCCATGATGGAGCACACGCCGAGCATCACAGCCACCACCAAAAGATCAAGGTGATACCCGCAGCCTTTCTGCAGAACAAGAGTCATGTGCATCAGAACCACAGCATTTTACACAATTTACAAAATAAGAGAATTGCTTCATGATGTCATTAAATTTGGCATGTTTTTAATGCATTGAGCATACGTATAACTGGAAACTTAATAAGACTGCTGTGTGCACTAATGTCTGAAAATATTAAACCTCAAATGTTTACTGAAGTGTGACGTCGGCTCAATGTCTAATGTAAATGAATGACTTGTCAAGAATAGTTCTGTTCTTTTATATTCTGTTCTAGGGGGGGGGGGGGGAAACAGAAAAAAGAACAAACCAGAAAAGAACAGAACGGACCAGAACAGAAAAGAACAGACCAGAACAGAAAAAATAAAACAGAACAGATCAGAAAAAAACTGAACAGAACAGAAAAGAACAGACCAGAACAGAAAAAATAAAACAGAACAGATCAGAAAAAAACTGAACAGAACAGAAAAGAACAGAGCAGAAAAGAACAGAACAAAACAGACTAAAAAAATAACAGAACAGACCAGAAGAGAAAAAAAACAGACCAGCCAAGGAAAAAACAGAACAGACCTGAAAAGAACAGAAGAGAAAACAGAACAGACCAGAAAAGAACAGAAGAGGAAACAGAACAGACAAGAAAAGAACAGAAGAGGAAACAGAACAGACCAGACCAGAAAAGAACAGAAGAGAAAACAGACCAGAAAATAAAAGAACAGACAAGAGCAGATCAGAAAAGAACAGAACAGACCGGAATAGAACAAAACAGACCGGACCAGACCAGAAAAGAACAAACCAGCCAAGAAAAAAACTGAACAGAAAACAGAACAGACCTGAAAAGAACAGAAGAGAAAACAGAACAGATCAAACCAGAACAGAAGAGAAAACAGAACAGACTAGAAAAGAATAGAAGGGAAAGAAGACCAGAAAATAACAGAACAGACCAGAGCAGAAAAAACACCAGAACAGACCAAAACAGAACAGACCGGAAAAGAACAGAACAGACCAGACAAGAACAGACCAGAGCAGACCAGAAAAGAACAGACCAAAGCAGACTAGACCAGAAAAAACAGAACAGACTAGACAAGAAAAGACCAGAGCAGACCAGAAAAGAACAGACCAGAACAGGGAAGAACAGAACAGAATAGGCCAGAATAAGTACCCATAAAATGATGCAATAATAAGAGCAATTTTAGTTGCGGTCACTTAATATGAAGTGGGACCTTATTTTATATACATTCTAACATTGAAATTATTAATTGGTTACAATATATAGTACTTATTGTGTAAATATATGTTTTTACATTTTATTTATGCTTGATTAAATATATGTAATAACATCTGCAAACACACTGTTGACCATGCCTAACTCGCACCTTAATCCACCTTTAAACCAATCCATACCACCCAACATGTCCCTAACCCTACCCCGAGAGCATTAGAAGTGTTCTGTAATACATTATGAACACAGTACTAACATTGTATTTCTTTTCTATTTAAAGTACATAGTATTTAAGACCACTTAATATAGAGCGGGACTAAAAAGAAATAAATATTACCAAAAAAGACAACATAAAAGAAATTGAAAAATATTCCAAATGTAGAGATATGTTTTAGCCACACAGTAGAATATTCAAGTAGAAACTATACAGCTTTTTCTCAATAAAGTGAACAGTGAAATTACATATTGTATGTGGATTTGTTTTATACAACAATAAGTTGTATATCTTCTAATTTAAATTAGACAAGATTTTTAAAGGCACAGTATGTAATATTTGCCTCTAGAGGGCGCGTTTTCACAATAACCAAAGGCATAGTTTGATGACACATGACTAAGTGTAGAATCACGGGAGTGAACAATTCCACAGGAGTGATGGTAGGAGTTAAAGTATTCAACACTTATCATGGTAGAATGAATCATTGTTCTTGTGGTCGTGATCACATGGAGAAGAAGCAACGCTGTTTTATCAAACTAAATACATTTAAGGATTCGGATATAACACTGCTCTGTGCAGTCTAATAAAAACACAACATATTAAAACGTCTTGGTGTTTCCATGTTTTATATAAAACCAAACTGGAATTCTGGGATGTGTGACATTATTAGAATGGCAACAGAATGCTACTAGTGTTTCTAGTTAAAATTCTGCGAAACATTTGTGATAATGTGAGTACAGGTCAGCAAAGTATATAACACTGTTCTAGTGGTTTTTGGATATTTTGATACAACAATTGGACATAATGTGCCTTTAATTACAACATAAAAAAGGACAGATTTACTCAAAAAATGGAATGCAGAATACTTAAAACTGAATTTGAACACTGACCTTGAGCTTGTGTTCTTTGCGGTTGATGATGACAGCGGTGATCTGCTGGTCCATGAAGATGAGGATGGTGCACAGGAGGGCAGGAATAGCGGCTGCAAACAGTGTCCATGTGGGATTATCCCCCAGAGGAGATATAAGCCAACCCCGATTCTTAGAGGTGGGCTATGAGACAGAAGAAATACACTTCACATTAATGCTCTTCTTTTTACTTAGAATAAATAAAATGTGCTTAATAAGAATTGAACGATATTTCATGCACAACATCAGCTTATAGCTGCTTACTGCCAGCAGTTGATACTGAATATTTCAGTTTACATGTTTATTGTTTTAAATTTTGAACTAGTGTTAAAAAATTATTTTTTAAAACACTTAAATATAATATTTTGACATTTATATTTATATAATTCATATTGTATAATAAATTGCCTGAATTCAACTGTAACATTTAAAATTACTTATTTTAGTTTTTAGCCGCCTAATTTTCATTTTTTAGATAAAATTATTACAGAATTTCAACATCGGACATTTAACAATTTTGAAAAAAGCATGAAAATAATTATTGGCTTAACTTTCACACAAAACCTGTGTTATTATTGCTGCATTTTTATGCACAGAAATATTTGGGAACAAATAGAAGCTAAAATAAAATAAAAAACATCGATATATATATATATATATATATATATATATAGACACATCACTTTTAAAGGTTTGCAGTTGGTAACTTTTTGTTGTAAATGTTCTTTAAAGAAAGTTTTACCAAGCCTACAATTTGTTTTAAATGAAAAGATTTAGTCATGACCTTTCAGAAATGATTTTATTCTGCTTATTAATTTTCATAATTTTTAATTTGTTTAAATTTTCAGAAAAACTGAAAACTAAACAAAAACAACAACTGAATGCTATTAACCTTTTGAGCATTTTTTATTATCATTAAACCTTGACATAAGAACATCATATTGTAAGACAAGAGAGGTTAAATCAACAGCCAAGTCCCAGCAAGATAACAAACAGAAACAGCTGGGGTGGCTTAAAGTCAACTAAACCCCGCTAAGCATGTTTTCTGTTTATTTTGGGCTACTTAAAACAAATTTGACCATTCTAAACAGCAAAAATCAGTCCAAGGCATTTGAAAAATGTGGGAAAGACATTAAAAAGCCTTAATTGACATGGCTATTCCTTAAAACTTGACATAGTTTTAAGGAATAGCCATGTCAATAAAGGCTTTTAAAAAAATTTCCACATTTTTCGAGTGCCTTGGACTGATTTTTTGCTGTTTATTCTGATAAATCCCTTAACAAAGAGCACAGACACCTTATTTAAGCTACCTCTGAGCAGTTTATGCTTGATTTTAAATTTGACCATTTTGTTTCCATTAACATGATGATAAGCTCAATGAAAAACAGAGATATAAAGCTATGCATGGAACTGCTCTAAAAATACTGATTTCAATTGTTTGTAAAATAAACATTAGCCAAAGTGAGGCAGTGAAAAAAGGTTAAAAGGTTTATCTTATATTCTTTCTTTTTTTTTTAAATACAAAAACACATCAAAAATAAAAATAAAAAATCATGTAGAGTACCTCAAATCTATCTGGGACGTGCAATTTAGGAGAGGGGATACCCACTAAATAATCCACCAAGACCATGATCATGATGGTTAGAAAAACTGCAAAGTCACTGATGGAAGAGCGGACCTGCAGAGGACAGAAGCTGAACGTTAGATTAAATGACATTTATCAGCGCATGACCAGGCAGAGCACTTGACAGACCTTAGTGGGGAAATAGCGCTTGGTCTTGAACTGCTTGAGGAAGGATGAGAGGAAGAAAGTGGTGAAGAAGAGAATGACCGACCAGAACAACACATCAGGGATGTACGGGCCATTATGTCCACAGGCAGGACCCACAAACTCGCCATGAAGATCCCTGCAATCCTTTAAAGAGAGACAACAAAACATATTTCTGTGATTACGAAATTTTCAATTACGCTTACAGATAATTAAACTGATGTGAATTTTCCTAGCCTAAAGAGCATTTTGGCTGCTTTTTTAGTTATAAATATTTCTATATTTTATATTTGTCAAAAGAAAAGACATTTTTATAAACTTTTTTTAAAAGTTGAATGAGAATCTTAATACTGGACACCTTATTCTGATGTTTAAGGAAATTAAACAGAAAACATTTGCATAGTTAAAAAAATGTAAAGAAAACACGTAGTAACTTTAACATTGGCCTTTAAAAAACACTTTGAAAATAATCTGCATACTTGCACATTAAGCTCAGTCCAATTAATGGTGTCATAAGTAAACCCTGACTGGTTCCATGACTGCTCCATCTTCTGTGTGGTATTGGAAGGAGGTGAACACTGACATCTGTTAAGAAAAATAAATATAGATATATTTATTTGCATAAAATCACGACTGATTCATGATCTTTACGGATCACAACCCACAGTTCGGAACGTACATGACCCGCAAATTACACTGCAAAAAAAACTTTTCTTATTTTTTGTATTCTATCTAGTCCAAATATATATAAAAAAAAATCTTAAATCAAGAAGAATTTTCTAGACCAGCAAAACATTGTCTTGTTTTCAAAATTAATATGCCAAAATTAAGTGAGTTTTTCTTAAAACAAGCAAAACATTTGCCAATGGGGTAAGCAAAATAATCCTGTTTTTCCTTTTGACATTAGATTATTTTGTATTTTGTATGTTTTGCTAGTCTAGAAAATTCTTCTTGATTTAAGAATTTTTAGATATTTGGACTACAAACAAGACAAACAAATCTAAGTAAAAAAAAGCTTTTTTGCAATGTAATAACGTTTTTAAACTTGTACTGTAGGCTAATCCAACATTTATAACAATTGCAGAAAGATTGCCTCCCAAGTCATTCAAACCACATGTATGAAAGCATTTTGCCTTCCCTGTTAAATATATTGATGATGAACAAAAAATTGTGGTGGGACCTAAATGCTTTCTTAAGGTTATTTATTAAAGGTGTTTTCTGTCACTGTTTTGTTTAGCCTGTATTACTGCATTCAGTGTAAGCTGCACGATTAAACTTTAAAAGATCATGATCTCAATTCAAACCCGTGCAACATGAACAATAAATGATAATGATTTGCATATGTTTATTAATCCTTTGAAGCAAAATTATGTCACTGAATAGGCTTTCAAAAGTGATCCACCTATAATGAAACATGTTTTATGTGTGAATTGTTGAATCCTTAATTGAAAATAAATATGATTTGTAGAAGATGTTAGATTCCTATATTTATCTTTATTAGCAACAGTAGCAAAAATCTTTTTTCTTATTGAATATTTATCTTTTTATAATATTGATCTTATTTATCTTTTCTTTCTTGATTTTTATTAATTAAGACTACAGGTTCTGTTTGTTGAAACCAATGCTTTTTGCAGTAATATTTTTGTATAAATAGAAAGCAAATAATATTTATCTCCTTCCTTTTAGCTGATCTGAAAAATGGTCCAATCCATGACTCAAAAAGAGTAGTGTGATCATAACTGTAAGATTTGTGATCCGTTACACCACTAATAAAAAGGCAAAAATATAGGAATAAAATAAAAAATAAGCCATAATGTGCAGGAAAGGGCACAAACTTATTTAAAGCCTGTACCTAAATAATAATAAGAAGAAGAATTATTATTATCTTATTATTACTCTCTTACGTGTAAAATGTGAGGTTGTTCAAATCATCATGCATGTTGAAAGGGTACATTTTCCCCAGCTGGAAGAGCTTCTCCAAGGCCTCGTAGATGAAGATGATGCAGATGAGAGCAGCGAAGGCCTCTTCTGTGAATCTTGTTATGTAGCACACCAAAGAGCTGGCATCTGTGGCGACCAGAAGAAGGCACAAGAAAGCCGTCCACAGGCCAATGCTGGTGCGCAGAGGGAGGTAGGACAAACCGTAGTCACTGAGAAGACAGACATACAGGTTAAATAGCGCTCTGAATAAAGGCATTAGATATACCTGAAATATCTCCATCTGATATTGCTGGAATTGTCTAACTGGCAATCCCTTTAATATTTTAGGTGATAAAAGGGACAGCATGTTTATTTGCAATAACACTACTGACTGTAGGGTTAAATGATAAAATTTGAACTCCTTTATCTTCAAGATACAAGAGTGCTGTACTATTCCTCTACCAGCAGATGGTGCTGTGGAATTTAAAAAAAGAAATCGCTATCATAACACGAAACAAACTTTAACATCCATAAAGAGTTAATAAAAATAAAATCAAGCAAAAAATATAAACATTAAACAGGACAAATTCTGTAATGATTGTGATTGTTTTTAATGTGGGCTTTAAGGAGAAGTTTTAATGGTCTTCATTGTTCTCTTGAGCTTTGAGATAGATCCTTTAATAGTGTACCATATGTTTAAAAAAAAAAAAAAAGAAAAAAAAGAAAAAAAAACAACACACACACACACTAAACTCCATGAAATAAATCTTTCCTATTCTTCCTGGATGTACTCTGAATTGAAACTGATAGGGTAAAACAGATCCCATTGTTACTGTTCACATGACTGTGTTTACAAGTGCTGAGGAAGAGCTGAAATCCAGATATGGTCATGTGTTTGGATTCTGCCACACTGCAATTGGTAGTTCAGTCTCAACAGATTGAGAAGCAATCAAAGCAGAACAGGTTTTCCAGAAAGATGTTGTTTAGAAATTCTTAATTATGTAGATTACCCGAAAATGTAAATTCTGTTGCTAATCACTCACATGTTGTTTCAATCACCCAAGAACTTCGTTCATCTTTTGAAGACAAGTTAAAATATTTTAGATGAAACCTGACAGCTCTCTCAACCTCCATGGGTAGATGTTCAAAGTCCCGAAAAGGAATCAAAAACATTGTTAAAACATTCCATGTGACCTCAGGGGGTTCATCTGTTATCATATGAAGCTCCAAGAACACTTTTGCGCACCACAAAATGTGTAAAAATGGCTTCGTTCTTATAGTCTTCTGTATCAGATCCAGTTTTGGAAGTAATGCGTCACAAAGGTAATGTATTACAGTAATGTATTACATTTTCCTGTAACGCAGTAGTGTAAGGCATTTAAGTAATATTTTACTCTGTACATGTTCAGTAACACTTCCGTAACAACAAACTTTTCAGCCTCTGAGCTTGAGGTCCGAGGCCATTGGCTCAGCCCAGTTCGCACTAACGTTAAGCCCTAATCGGCCGTGTAAGATCAGCAAATTGATGAAAATGGCAGAAAGACAGTATATTTGCGAGATGGACATATGGCGTTATTTTACTGACAAATGTCGTAAACGCAGTATTCCAAGTCGAGAGCACATTTATGTAATACGAGCTAGCAATTTTTTTGTTCACGTGCCGGTTTCCTCTGTCCATGGACAAAACTGCTCGCGAACTCTCAAATATAAGCTGCTCGCTCTCAAAGCTTCCCGCACGCACTGGCTGCTCATGTCCGAATGATCGGCTCTCGCTACCTCAGATGATGCAGACTCACAATTTCTGCCTTTTGTTTCCTCTTCGTTTCGTGCTTTTGCTCTCCAGAGATCCTCCTGTTAAATTGGTTATCCCAAAAATGTTGATATGGTTTATATATTAAAATATAAAGACGATAGTGATTTGCCAAGGCAGCAGAAATTAAGTTTCTCTCTGTCAGTAGATTAATTTAGTCTTTTTAGAGCCATAGAGATCTCTGTTTGATCTGTTTTCTTTCTAAGCAGTTAGGCAATGTTTAGCCTATATGTTCAGTTCTTTATGGCCTAAAATGACAGGTTGAGGAGTTGGTTCTCTAATTGCCAATGGAGGATGAGAGAGCTCTCGGATTTCATCTAAAATGTTTTAATTTGTGATACAAAGATGAACAAAGAAAGGGGGATTGAAACGACATGAGAGTGTGAATTAATAACAAAAATTGTATTTATTGTGTGGACTAATTCTTTAAATCAAACATTTCAGACACAGTTATAAAGGAGCCAATGTTTATCATAAGAAAAGTAAAATGTTTATTTTGACCAGGAATAGAAGTAAACCTACTGTAGGAGACAGTAATAGAGAACCATCAATATAGCATAATAAGGGCGCTGTGACAAAATTATATGAAACGGTCATAAAAATGTCCGCCCCACTGCATGAGTTCTAAAATGTGAGAATGAATGCTTCAGGTAGAGAAAGTGCAGTGCTGTGATACATTATTAAAAGTGAGTCACTCACCTGCAGAACTTAAAAAGAATCTTCTCAAAAACCAAAACTGGCCCGGTGCTGCCCAGGATAGTGAGAGGCTGACCGGCAAACAGAGAGAAGGCCACACCGGTGAGTGAAGCTCCAAATAGAGACTCAATGGCACTCTGGATCAAATGCAGACAAAAGAGAAGTAATCACAAATGAGGTCAAGTAAAGAATAAAAACATAGCGATTGGGCTACACAATGATTCCAGTAAAATCTATTTTGTCCAGTGCTTTAAAGGGAAAATTCCCCCAAAAACTAAAAATGTACACACAACTTACAAGAGGTTTCAAATCTTTTTTCTGTTAAACACAATAAGAAGACATTTTGAAGCTGCAACCTGTATACATTGACTTCCACAGTAGGAAAAAACAAATACTATGGAAGTCAAAAATATCTATGGAAGTCAATGGTTTCAAAATATCTTCTTTTGCGATCAGCTGAAGAAAAATTGGTAAATGATGACAGAGTTATAATTTTTGGTATTCCTTTAATCCTCTACAGATCATTCCCATCAGAGGTCTACGAGACTCACTATGTTGTTTTTGGTGGCTTCCCCCAGAAGGCCTCCGAAGGTGATGACGGGGGACATACAGGCACAATAGAGGAAAAGGATGGAGGCCAAACACTGCAGGCTAAAAGCATCCCGAACATCACTCCAGTAAAACGGAGCTTTCCGCTTCAAGTCTAGCACCAGGCCCCCAAATATCCTGAAAGAAGAGAAAAAAAACCAAAGTAGTTCATATTTATGAAAGCAATCAAATTTACATAAATAACACTACTAGTTTTTGCAGTTGCCTACATAGTTTTTCAATTCATTTTCCTTTGGTTTGTATTTTTTAGTACAACAGATTTCACGAAATAAAAATGACAAAAATGTTATTTTCATTAAATTCTATATTAATTTTGAATGTAATTAAACATTTTATTTTCTGATAATGAAAAAGTTATGGTTTTAGTTTTATACTAGATACTATATTTTTTTATTTTATACTATATTTAAAATTATAATAACCATGCAGGGTTTCTGCAGGTTACAGCAAATTAAATTTAAGACTTTAAGACATCATACATTTCATACAGGGTACAGAGTTTTTCGAATGACCCAGTAAGAAAATTTTATTTGCCTTTTCAATTTTTTTTAAAAGAATTTAATTAATTTTATAATACAATAATAATAATTAATTAATTAATTAATTATATATATATATATATATATATATATATATATATATATATATATATATATATATATATAAATAATTTTTTTTTTTTTGTTAATTGAGCAAAATATTTTAAATATTGTGTCAAAACGAGCCAGCCTTTAGTTTTATACAACGTAAACTTTCATAAAAATAAAAGAAAAATAAAAAAAAATACAATTTAAAAATACAATAATAAACTAAAATGTATGCACAACAGTTTGTCCATGAACAAATGTTATTGTAAGGAAAATAATTAACCATTATAGTAAATAGAGCTAAAAGTAAATTCTTAAATAAAAAAAAAAAGTTAAAAGTTTTATTATTTACAGTATTTATTGGATGGGTGTTGGCCAGATTGGGTAGCTATACATGAACAAAGGAAAATTAGGACCAATTTAAACAAAGATTTAAGACCTACAACATAACATTTCAGTAGATGTACGACTTTTTCAGGCCTAAAATTTAGTTTTTGAGATTTAAGACAAATTAAATTATTTTTAAAAATAAAAATAAAATGTCATTTTAATTCATTATTTTTATAATTATTATTTTGTATAAATGATTATTTTTAAACTAATAAACCTGACCAATACTCTCTGATGAAACAGTGGAGGTAACTCTGTAAGTCACTGACTCACTATAATAATGGGCTCACATTTTACAATAGCTCCATTTGTTAATGTTAGTCCATGTTAACTCAGAGTACATTAAATAAGCCTCTTTAGAAAACCTCTTTAGATTTTAATAATGTATTAGCAAATGTTGAACTGTGATTAATAAATTATCTAAAAATATTGTTCATTATTCAGCCATGATAGTAAATACATGAACTAATAGGAACCTATTTTAAAATTGCGATAATAGCTGTGATACTTAAATCAGCATATGCATTCAGAAATTATAGTTTAAGGCCTTCTCTTTTTTGTCCTAAAGCCTGTTTGGGGTGTGCTGTATTTTCAGAGTAATCTGGGGCTTTTATAACACATTTTAATGGATGGCTCTCCTACACAGCCATCTCTGGCCGGACACTTAAGCTGCAGATCAAAGGATGGGCACCACTGTTAAATACATCGCTTTTATTCAATACCTCCGACATGAAAGGCTTACAAAATTTGCACTATAAAAACATTTTTACCCCCTTCCATCTAATGCGAGTTTAATAAGGTCCTCCTTCATCAAAAAAGACTTAAGTAAATCCTACATTCCCCCCTTCTCTCTTTTCCTAACACAGTGTCCAGCATTGACACATTTATCCATGTCTATAAAATCCAGACATCATAATGACTTAATGTAACAGCCCTGCATGTTTAAGTATACCATTAATACAATCCCATCAGACATATTTAGGGCAGCATGTTTAAAAGAACCTCTTTTAATATATGCTTTGTGTTATTTGAACATAAACATACAGCTGATCTTTATAGACCAACTCAAAAATTTGGGTGATGTATGCAAAAAGTTAGCGCTGACCGTCCCGTCCTCTGCAGTTCAGGTCCAGCGTGGTGTGCTTCTTGTTTGATCACATCTGATTGTGGAGTAGAGCCATTCGGCATGGAGGGCATCTTCCTCTTCTCCTGCAAACACAAAATTAATAGGGTATAACATGTTTCCATCAAAGGATGTGAATTAAAGTTATGCGCAAAACTGAAATATCTCATAAAACATTTGTGAATAATGCACAGTTTACATCCAGTGAGTCAAAGAGAACAAAATTGCCACTTTCTGATAAACTGGAGCCAAATATTTAAAAGAAATTGTATTTGCTGTGGTACAAGAAGTGAATGTGGGACTTTTTATTATATAATAAATTACAAAATGTTATAAACATGTAGTGGCGGTAGGAGATGCTAGAAGTTTTTTGTCTACTTTTCTTATCAGATAAAAGGTTTATCCTGCTCAGTTGTGAATATAAAAGTTTTAAATGTGCATTTTCAAATCGTATGCACATCTTGGAATTTCCATTAAGCATTTATTTTATATTTTATAATTTTATGTTCAAAATGCACATAAAAATAGGTTGAGAAACATTGGGTGTTAAGCCAAAAAATAAACCCTAAAGGCTGGTCCTAGCAGAGAATAAACCAGCAAAATTCTAGCTACCAGAGTCCAACTAAGCAATGATTACCTGAGAGGGGACACTCTTTGGAGGCTCAATTCGTATCGTGGGATCCCATTCTCCTGGAGGCAGAACGGTCACCTGGTCCAAGAACTCATCAATGCCAGACAGAAGGTCGTTCCTATCTTTGGCTTTGTACGCTACATCATGAAAGATCTGTCATGTTGGTAGAGAAGATATGAAAATGTGATTATGCACAAGTAAATGAAACTCTTGCTATCTAAAATTAATAATTAATGTATTCCTTTAATGTCTTCTCTTAAGGTCTTTGCACATTGAAGTCCGAATTTTTTTTTTGCGTTTTTTTCAGTTTCATATGTGAAAAACTCGTCACATAAACAAACCTTGCACACTAAGTCCGATTTATTTAACCGCATTAATTAATCCAGTATGAAAAAACACAAAACATTTGGCAGTCAGTTCAAGCTGTGATGCTTTGTTCTCCTCTTTCTTCTCCAATGTAGGAATCGACCGAGGAATAGGCTACATATTGTGTTCATTTAATACTAGACTACATAGAGAGGAAGGAGAATTTTCCTCCTTATCAAAGAGCTGCACTGCGATTATTCTGCAATCCAAAGTTTATTTCAGGAAATCAGTGGAGTTTGGATACATTGCTTGGGATACTTCACACATTCACGTATGTAAACAAATCCTGAACAGAGACTGTACATCAAATATATAGACACCAAAGACTGTGGACACACACCAAGCAGCAGCAGGGGAGAGGTGCGCCAGCCACAGAAACCAGCATAGGGGTTCTCAACTGTCCGCCACATTCTGTCTTTATTTTATGCACTGTGTTTGTCAAAGTTATCTGTAGCTCAATTTACGGCATTTTTTTTTTTTTTTGCCGTTCACTTGTACAGTGGTTCTGAACTGTCAAAACGCTTTTCGGATGTGAAAAGCGAGAAGGAAAAAAAAAAAAAAAAAAAATTTGAACCCGCTTTGGATTTTTTTTTTTTGTGATGGATGAATGTTTCGGAGAAAGTGTGTCAAAATGATTCACACACTGTGAGGTTGAATTTATTTTTTAATGGGCGAAAATTACGGACGAAAATTTCGGATTCAGTGTGCAATAACCTTTACTATGGCATTTACTAAGGCTGCATTTATTTGCTTAGTAAAACAGTAATTCTTACAATTCAATATGAGAGAAATATTACTGTCATATGTGTCTTCACAAACAAACTGTCAAAAAAAAAAAACTAGAGATTGTATAAAAGAAATAAGGATGTTACTACAGCAGAACACTCTTCTAAAATTTAAAATAAATGTAATAAAGTTTTTACAACAGTAAAATTGAAAATTATTGTTTTCATATAAAATGTGTAAAACTATTTAAACATAAAAATGTAAACATTTTAAGTTTTATTGTTACATGATGATGGACCCTTTTCACGAGACTGGACTGTCATCATCATCTTAAATCCTTGAAAGTTTTTAATATTTAGATTTTTTTTTTGAGCATGAACATTTATATGTATTTATGTATGTATTCTATCATGTTTGTGTCAAAAATAACAAAAAATTAATTCCCGCCTATACAAGTTGTTTCTAATGCAGAGTCTATGGCAGGACAGCAAATTTGACAATATTCTCTACTCTGGCTGCCATTATCAGTCTCACAATATTTTTCCCCTTTTTCTGAAAGTATTGATAACACAACCGCAGCAAATAGGATTGTAAAAAAGTATTTGTTGTTCTCTCCCATTCACTGCGCTCTAAGTTGACTCAACTATGACGACTTCTGCTGCTGAGAATGTGAAATGGGTCTATTTAACAAGCCCACAGATTAAGAAAATCTAATTTATTTAACTTTATTTATAAGTTAAATAAAAAAACGAATACTTTACTTAAGGTTAAAGCATCTAAATAGGAGTTTTAACCAATCCGTATGGACCTTGCAGGGCAGATACCTCACCTCATCTGTCATCAACGTAGCTATAGATCTGCCAATCTCATGGTACTGGGCTCCTTTACCGAAAGGCCCTAACAGCAGGAAGAGAAACCTGTAAAAACAAGACAAGGAAATAGATAAATCTTTAGGAAAAGAAAGTTTCACATTTCGGTCATGAAATCCCCCTGTTCTATAAGGGGCTCCATTCATGTAAACAAGTCATGTTTTCAGTAGTCCTACCTTGTCGGAACGGGCACTTCGGTCAGTCCGGTGAGAAGAACAGCAGGCGAGAGTCGGATAAAGGCAATGATTGGACGCTCAAGGAAATCAACCTCCCCCACCAAAACATTTGAAGCTTCAGCCCCAGGCGGGATTTTCTTCATAAAATTCATGTCCACCTATAGAGCACAGATTAGCGGAAGATCATTCATAATGGACACTAATGGGTAACACCAAGGTTTGTAGTAGAAAACCAAATTCAGAAAAAAACACTTCTTTCCTTTAAGTAAACATGCAAAAATTAAAAGGAAATAAAACAAACTCTAGTCAGGCCAGTTTAACGTGGTGATCAGTGACAATGGAAACACAGACAAACATAAGTCCTATTAAACAAAAAAATATATATATTCTACAGTAAACCACTGACAATGAACAAAAGAAACAATTGCACAACAAACTATTACACCAAACCAGCGACACATGAGAATTAGGTGATCTTTCACAATCCACAGGCTACAGAATGCAAACCAGTCATGTCTAGAGAAATGTTTTTCCTCCTAGCGAGTGACGTTTGTCTAACCAGGATCAGTATTCATGGGAAGATGTCACCTAACGCCAAGCAAAATAGGACTTCACCTAAAGTTCAGCATCAGTTGCAGAGTCAGAAAAAGAGATCAAATAAACAGCTACTACAAACACCCAAAGACAATGGTCCAAAACAGGTGGGCGCGAGTTGAAAAACAGAAAATAATGTTTTAGTTTAGAGTTTCTGTTTTAGTTTGAAACATACGACCATGAGAATTTGTTCAAAACATTACTAAAAGAACAAAACACTTTGCTTTGACTGAACTGATTTACTAATAATGACGTTTATTTTATGGGTGTATATAGGATGAGTAAATAAATATGTAGCGTAAAAATATTACATTCCAAATATTTTATGTTCAACTTGTAGGACATTTTTTGAAAAACAGCAAACAAATGTTTTAGTTTAGAGCTTCGGTTTTAGTTTGAAAAATACAACCATGAGAATTTGTTCAAAACATTACTAAAAGTATGAATCACTGCTTTGACTGAACTGATATAGTAATGATGACGTTTTTTTTTTTTTTTGGGTGTATATAGGTTGAGTAAATAAATATATAGCTAAATAATATTATATTTTAAATATTGTGTGCAACTTATAAGACATTTGTTGAAGAAAATAAATGTTTTAGTCTAGAGCTTCTGTATTAGTTTAAAACATAAGACCATGAGAATTTGTTCAAAATGTTACAAGAACGAAAAACTTTGAACTGATTCACTGATGAAGTTTTCTTGTGTGTGTGTATACAGGTTGAGTAAATAAATATGTAAATAAAAGTATTATATTCCAAATATTGTGTGTGTCACAACATAATACTGATACTTTAAATTAAACAAGCTTTAAATGCATTTAGTCTCATAAAAATGATTATTGTAGGTTTTATCATGTATTAATACAAATATATTATTAAAAAGTATGAATTAACAGTGTTTTATAAATCAACATTAGAAACAAAATTATGCTCATTGTGTGATATCTACTACATAAACAAATAAAAGTAGGTACTTTTACAACTTTACATCCAATAAAAAAAACATTTCACTAAACCACTATTTTGGATTCATCACAAAAATACCAGTGTGTCTGAAGGTCTCGCTTTAAAGGAATAAGTCACCCAAAAATGAAGATTCGGTCATCATTTACTCACCCTTCACCTGTACCAAACCAGTTTTCCTTTTCTGTTGAACACAAAAGAATATATTTCTGAAAAACCCTTGACTTCCACAGTATTTGTTTTTCCCAGCATGAAAGTCAATTGTTACAGGTTTGCAACATTCTTTATTATCTTCTTTTGTGTTCAACAGAAAAAAAAACTCAAACTGGTTTTGAACAAGTAAAGGCTGAGTAAATGATGACAGAATTTTCCAATTGTCAATGTCTTTAAAGAGCCTGATATACAGAGGGAAAATAAGTATTGAATAAGTATTCTCAGAAAACATATTTCTAAAGGTGCTGTTAAGTTGAAATTTTCCCTGGATGTTGGTAACAACCAAGAAAATCCACAAATGCAAAGAAAAATCTAATTAGTTTACAAATTAGGTTCTGCATAATAAAATTAAATGATGCAGGAACTAGGTGTTGAACACATGAAGAAAGGTGTAGAAAAACAGTAAAAGCCCAGACAGCAGCTGCAATCTCTCAGTAGTTCTTCAGCAACCGTCTGCCCTTTCTCATTGTAAATTAATATTAGCTGCTTCAGTCCAACATCTACATTAGCAGGGTGACCAGGGTGGACATTTCAGCAAGACAATGATCCAAAACACAGCAAAGAAAACTCTCAAATACTTTCAGCAAAAGAGAATCAAGCTGTAGAATGGGCCAGCCAATCACCTGCCTTGAATCCAATAGAGAATACAAAATAAAGCTCAGATTTGATAGATGAAACCCACAGAACCATCAAGATTTTTATACTCTGTTGAAGTCTGTCTTCTTCTCCATATGAGAGGCGTCTTTAAGCTGCCATTACCCAAAAAGCCTCTTACATAAAGTATTAAATCATTAGTTCAGTACTTTCTCCTTGTGTCATTCCATTATTATTACATATTCATTTTTGGGTTGTTGTTTTGTTTTGTTATATTTTTATGTTTGTACTGTTTGGGTTTTTACCAAAATCTGGTTCAATTCCAAGTCAACAGCTCCTTTAGAGATATTATTACCAGGGAAAAACATGATGTGTTCAATACTTATTTTCCCTGCTAGGCTGAAACTAAACTAAATCAAAACAGAATCATAGTTCCTTTTTCACAAGACACTTCCGACATCACTGAACACAACACATAATGCAGTAATCATAACATGGTTAACAACTCGAGAAGACATCACAGAGTCACGAACACAACCTCATCAAACGCTCAATGGCCACACACTGGAGCACATGAAGTTAGAACCGTGCAGAGACTCACAGCAGGCCTTTTGGTGCCCACTCCCAGAGAGCCGCAACTACAGTGAAAAGGCGACTGGCTGTCCTGATATCAACCAGACAGACACGAACAGCATTCAGTGTTTGCTATACAAAGCTCAGCATAAAGAATTACACCCCCCTTGAAAATGAGTATTTGTATTCATTCCCCAGAGAATATAGTCAACACTTTTTGGTGCATTGAAACAAGACCATTTTATTTAGCAGTTTTGTGCATTATAATAAGAGTCTGGTCACTGAACACGCTTAGGAATAAAAAGATAATACAATTTTAATTCAAAGGAGTTTTTGCCATTTAAACTAAATTAGATTTTTTTTAAAATATATATTTCTCTTGATTTTTCCTGTTTATTAAAATTAAATTAAATATTTTTACCCAACATATTAATTTAGGTGTACTACACTACCTGACAAAAGTCTTGTCGCCTATTTAATTTTTAGGAACAACAAACAATAACTTCTAGTTGATCATTTGGTATCAGAAGTGGCTTGAAAGGCAAAGGCCTCTAGATTACGCTTATTTTACAAAATTATATATGATCATGCCCTGACTTTTAATGATTTAATTAGGACAGCAAGATCCGAGTTTGATCAGACAAAAGTCTTGACACTTAACAGAAATAATGTACAGTATAGAAAATAAAGGCATAGTGCAGTGGAAAAAGAATTAATATTGTGTTTGACTCCCATGAGCTTGGAGGACAGCATCTATACTTCTCTGCAATGACTCAAATAACTTAATAATTAATAAAATAATTAATAAAGTCATTTGGAATGCCAAAGAAAGCGTTCAATGAGTTCAACAAGATACTTTGATTTCATCTTCAATGCCCCCTCCATCTTATCCCAGACATGCTCAATAATGTTCATGTCTGGTGACTGGGCTGGCCAATCCTGGAGCACTTTGACCTTCTTTGCCATCAGGAACTTTGATGTGGAGGCTGAAGTGTGAGAAGGAGCGCTGTTCTTCTGAAGAATGTTGCCTCTCCTGTGGTTTGTAATGTAATGGGCAGCACAAACGTCTTGATACCTCAGGCTGTTGATGTTGCCATCAACTCTGCAGATCACTTGCATGCCCTCATACTGAATGCAAACCCAATCCATGATTTTTCCTTCATCAAACTTAACTGATTTCTTTGAGAATCTTAAGGTCCATGTTGGTTCTAATAGGTCTTCTGCAGTATTTGTGATGATTGGGATGCAGTTCAACAGATCATTTATCAGAAAAAAAATCTACCTTCTGACACTTCCAAATGATCAACTAGAAGTCAAGTTATTGTTTATTGCACTTACAACTGGGATCAATGACAAGACTTATTTCAGGTAGTGTATATTTTGTACTCTGAAACTGAATTGAAAAGCTTTTTTCTTAGGTTAGTTTTAGTTTTGGCTCTGGACCTGATTAATCTTATGTGTATGGACAAACACTATACTATTGTTAAGCATCCTATAGAAAATATTCATTTAAAAGCAGTATCTGTGAAGGGTGTACTCATTAATGCTGAGCACTGTATGTATATATTAGCTTTTTTCAGATCAATTTTGTACAATGCCTTTAGTTATATTTATTTGATATTTTACACTTAATGCAAATTAAAAAATTTTTTAACATAATTTAACAAATAACATGATTAAATGGAATACAATAATAAACTTACAAACAATGTGAAATGATGTGGGGGTCTCATGATCATCAGCCACCATGTAAACTTATAAAAGACTGTGGTAAAAATAGTTTTTTCATTCAAAGCCTGCAAATTAAGGAATGCTCTCACTTTTAAATATCATAAAGGCACATGGATCACTTTTAATTAGCCAATTTATTTTAGCTGTTTTTAATTGATGTTGTATTTTTAGTGCATTAAAATTTTTACCGTATTGCTTTGTTTTTAAGAAAATTTGCATTCCAGAATAAATCAAATAAAAATAAAATGATACAAATATTATTATCATTATTATTATTATTATTTGAGTTTTTTATGTCAAAATGGGCTGATTTGTGTTTGTGTGATTCTGTTGTCTGAACAGTCTTAACTCATCTGCAACATCTACAACTAGCTGAAAGAAACTCACTCTGCTGAAGTCCACTGTGCTATTTTCCCTGCTGCCACCGGTGCCATTTATTCGGCTTTCACTGGACTTACTGTTCTCCAGGATGCCCGGGGCCGACTGGGGCGACGCAAGAAGACCTGTTGGGGTGAGAAAAAAAGAAAGAAAAAAAAACACAAGAAAAAGATTGCAGTTAGACATTTGATGGCGACTCAAATCTCTAATATCCAGAGAAGGTTTACTGCACACTCAGTGTGTGGACATGCAGAGTAGGTCACATGCTTTCTGCATAACATCACACAACAGTGCTCATGGATACGATGCTGAAAGATTTGTAGATTTTCCATCCCAGAGAATGTATTGGATGGAAATCAAACCTTTTATTTAAAATGATGAGTTCATCTGGGGTGAGCATTAAGGCTAAATCATTAACTTGAGGTCTGATAAATTGTTCCTGGCTTCTGACTGAGGATTTTAGCTACACAAAGAGTAGCGATCGAAAATCATCTCTCGATATCCATAAAGAGACTGCAAAACTGTGTTAACATGAGGGGACATTTCATGGAAACAAACTCTCCTGCTATCTGAGCCTGCTGCCTGACGTCAAAGCGAACTTAAAAATAAAGGGAGCAAAAAAGACCTTCCTTCTATGGTCTTCCCTGTAAACACATGGAACAGACACATCCGTCACTGCAATTGTTTAATATCGCTGCCTCGCCATGATCTGGTCAGGCACTTATAATGAAGGTTTGCAAGCACACGAGTGGCACGCTCTGCCAGCATGAACGCTGCAAAGTACAACATGAAGAAACTCCATGACATCATCCGCTCTCATTTCCACAGGCTCGGTTTTCACTTCTGGAATTTAGCGTATACTTAGACTCCAGTGACCAAAAGTGTCTCAAGAGGCTTTCTGCTCCTTGGCATGACATCATTCATTAGCACTTGTGAGGTACTGTGACACTTTATAGTGTGCTTAATTTAAAGCTATTTGGATTACAGTATGTAGTGTATTAATGGACCCTTTTAGTATTCCCAGGGTTTCATACAAACATGCATACACACATATACACGCACACAAACACACTTGAACATACAAACATACACATGATACATTCTTGCATACAAACATACACATATATACTTGCATACATATACATACTGTATACACACACACACACACACACACACACACACACACACACACACACACACACACACACACACACACACACACACACACACATTCATACATACAGTTGAAGTCGGAATTCTTACCACCCTCTAAATCAGTGGTTCTCAAAGTGGACCCCGCCTGGTGTTTTTCAAAAAGCCATGTTTTTTTTATTAAAACATAAGAATTACCATATTCTATCCATAAACTACTGAAGAGAAAAAAAATAGTCGTTTATAGTTACTATATACTATATAGTTAATATAGTAGCTTATAGTAACTAGTTCTATTGGATTGCGACGCCTGGGGTAATTATATTGTATTAAAGACACAGCAATAGCGTCAGATGTAGCAGATTGAATTTATAACACAAGGTTAAACTTTCTGGCACATTAACAGCACTGACATGCATTAAAGAAATTAAACAAAAGTGCAGCATTGCATTTATAACCACTGCATTTATAACCACCTCAGAGGATATTGGGGTCGCCAGTTACTGGCATTGTCATTTTAGGGGTCGTGGGCTGAAAGGTTTTGGCATCCCTGCTCTAAATTTGTTAAACAGAAAGAGATTTTTTTCAACACATTTTAAAACAATAGTTTTATTTACTCATTTCTAATAACTGATTTCTTTTGTCTTTCCCATGATGACAGGACATACTATTTTACTTGATGTTTTTCAAGATACTAGTATTCAGCTTCAAGTGCAATTTAAAGACTTAACTAGGTTAATTCGGTTAACTAGGCAAGTCATTGTATAACAATGGTTTGTTCTGTAGTCAATCACAAAAAAAAATCTTGAGGCGGTTAATGAACTTAAAATGGTTTTAAAAACTGCTTTTATAAGCTGAAATAAGACTTTCTCCAGAATAAAAAAAATAGGGAATGCTGTGACAAATTCCTTGCTCTGTTAAACATCATTTGGGAAATTTTCGAAAAAAACTAAATTCACAGGAGGACTAATAGATCTGACTTCAACTGTATGCACCATTGGTAGACTGTAGATTTAAAAGGTCAAGCTATTCTAAATAATGTTCAGGAGCCAGGCATTAATTTAGGCTTAATTAAAATTCTTAAAGTGCCTGTTGAATCGCATTTTGACTCACAAAGGACCATGGGTTCAGCTAAAAATCTTCCTTAATGCACAACTAAAAAAAACTGAAAAAAAAAAAAACCTGATGGTTTGAAAGCGATTAAACTTACAAAAGCTTTCGTGTTGTTTATTTTGTAGCGATTTAAAAGCCATTGATTATAGCAAAATATTTAGTCAACAATACCTCTTAAACCAATAAACCACTTTTGCAAGATACTTGAGGTCCTGCATACTATCTGTGTATTTTTCAGATATCTTCAAATATGGTGTATAGATGAAAAGTCTCACAAGGGTAGTCAAGAACTTTATAAAACATTTGACTGATTGGTCATGGTGAAATTCGAGAAAAGCACAGTGTGACACAAGAAGACATTGAAATATTGTTCAGGGTGACAGAGAGAAGAGTGCGAGCGAGAAAGGTTTAAAAGAGACAGGAGAGAACGTGACGGAAGGTGAGATATAGATAAGAGAGATAAAAAAAAAAAGTGTGCTCAGCATAAACGAGCCCTTTCTATTTCTCAATGAATATAGACAATAAGTGTTGGAGCATTTAATCAAAACTGTTTTATTTAAAAGTTCAATTATATTAATTAAATTAAGACTTTGTTCATCTAACATCTTTAAGTATAAAAGGATAATGCATTTAAATTCAAATGAGATATTGCAAAAAATAAAAAAACTATAAAATGACAACAATTTTATATTGATGTTATTAATACATTTATATATGATTGTTTTTTGATTATGAAACATATAATAGATTGAGTAGACTCAGTTAGCAAGAAACAGTATAAATGAAAGCGATATAAAAATGATCATATATATGTAGATTAAATACAAATAAGAACATAAACTAAAGGGATGAAACAGATGTGCAATATTGGGTAAGTGTTTTATATAATCTTCACAATAAATTCATTAGTAGCATAAATGTCTACTGGACACATTTAAGACAAAGTGAACGATTTAATTTGTTAATACGCATTCGCATATGGTTGTGTAAATTCCATGAATGAAAGTAATGGGAGTTCCCTGATTGGTAGGCGAGAGGGGCATGTTTCAACTCGTTACCTGATTGGCTCACATCAGGTTTTAGCCATACTTGCATCACTGATTCTGTGATCAGTCTTGTGGCTTGTTATCAAGTGCCATGAATGTGCTTTTATCCTGGCTATCTATCGTATATCAGGCTTGACATCTCATCCTGGATCAGCAAACATGCAACGGACTAAGCCAGGAGGACCTGATTAAACTTAAGTCAAGCAGGGCTTTTTCTGTTATCCTGACTTTCTTGATTCCGCTTTTGTGTAATACCTCTCTGGTCAATTATAATCCAGATTCAACATTACAGATCCTGCAGAGTGACTACTGTGAATGCACACGTTGCGATATCGATGCTAAAATGATATATTGTGCAGCCCGAATTACATTGTAGAACTAATTTAGCAGCTAATTTTTTACACCCAACCTATCAAAACAGAGACCTCATAATCCACATCACCAATCAGGACATGGTGTAATTAGTAACCATTTTCTGCACTCGTGCCAACCATAAAAAGTGAGAGACTGAGCAAATGTATCATGCAGGTGATACGTCATGCTGATGGGCTGGATATTTGCCTGACTGCGGAAGGGGCAAGAGCCTGGTCGGGTCATGAACCACCTTCTCATCCTGAACGGCGTAAAAGGCTGGCAGTGGATCCCCCACGTCCTCCTCAGGTGGGAACACTACGACCTCTGGAATGTCGTCTCGGTCTCCCCGCGCCACCAACAGCTCGGGGCCCTGCTGAGAGGGTCCTGGAGGGCGGAGGGATGGCGAAGCGCGGTGGGCGGTGGGGGGAGAGTTTTGAGGAGTGGTAGAGGGGGTGGAGTTGGCACTGGACAGAAGCTGATTGAGAATGATGGAGGATCGGGAGTAGCGGGACTCTCTGGAGGGACGGCGTGAGCTGGGGGGGGTGGAGGTGGAGGAGGTACGTCTGAGGAGGGACAGACGGGAGGTAGAGAGACCCTCCCCTGATGGGACCAGCACAGAGAAGATGAGGAGAAGGATGAAGAGAGGAAAAGGAAAGGTAAACAGACTGCAGATGGAGTAAAACAACACATGAATGTATGATGAGAATGGGATGAAGGAGAGCTGGGAGTGTTTGTTAGAATGATGTGAGGAGGTGAGAAGGTGGGAAGAACGAACAGTGCAAATCAATTGCTTGATTCAACACCCAAAGACATGACCATCACACACTGACAGACAACATTTGAATAAGTCATGCTGGTGTGTTTTTGCTTGTAAAAACCATCAGTGAACTCTCATTCAACAAGGCCTGTTTCACAGAAACCAAATTCAAGCAGAGGCTATTTTTTAAATGCAGCACATGCTGAAAATATTTAATAAATGTTTTATCCACATAAAACAAAGCTAGTCTCTCATATAATATATCCCAATGAGTTAAGTTAACTCAAACCCTTTGAGGAAACAGATTGCAACAAACTATACAAGTTCAAAAACTAATCCTAATGAGTTCTGTGAACTTGATCCATTTGAGTAAACGAAGCAATTTAAACACAGTAAAACCAAATAAATGAATGAACTCAAACCAACTGAGTATTGTAAAACCCAATAATTTAAAGCAACTCAAAGTACTGTGAGTACTGTGAAATTACTCCATTTAAGTTGAAGCAATGAGGTATTTCATTAACTCATTACCTTTAACACTGACTTTGAAACTCTATTTAAATGAGTAGAACTACAGTACAGTAGATAACTACACTCATTTCATTTGATAAAGTTGACTATTGGGGTTTACAGTGTACTAAAAGACAGATAATATTACTTAAAAACTGTATTGTAAATACTTTATATAAGCATTTGCACAGTGGCGTTAGTGAAATGGATATGAAAACTGCATATATATTTACACACATTTAGTTTATAAATAAATAAATAAATAAATAAATAAAATAAATAAACTCAATGAGGAGGTTAAAAAATTTCTGCACGCACATATTCTGTGTGAGCCTGCTTATGTATAATGCATAGTAGGGCTAATGTTGAGCATATCACTGTTTTGTTTACAATGGTAACCAAGGAAATGCTAAATTTCAAAGCAGTTTAAAGTTCTACATTCGTTGACAATCAATAAAAAAATAAATCTTTCTATTTCTGGGGTTTGACCTCAGCTCATCTGTATGCCAATACACCACCATTCAAAGGCTAGGGACAAGTGAATTGAGCAGAAAAGCAACAAAAAAAAAAAAAAGAAACATTTAGGCCCAATCCCAATTCTACACCTTAGCCCTTCCCCTTACCCCTCGTTTTGAGCTTTCACATGAAAGGGTAAAGGTGTCCCAATTCTCTTTAGCTTGAAGATGTAGGCCTAAGAGGCTAGATAGCCCTTAAAACAGAGATTTTCCAGGACCACACTCGAAACCAAGGGGTAAAAGGGGCTTGTCATTACGAATTTTTACAACAAACAAGAACATGTTTTTATCTATTCATAACAGTGTTTGTTTTTTACCATCATGCTTAAAAATAATAATAATAATAATAATAACATCGCTAAAATAAAAATCCGCTGAATTTCACTATAATCCATAATAATAACTCTTGTATACAGTTAAAGTCAGAATTATTAGCCCCCCTCTTTATTTTTCCCCAATTTCTGTTTAACGGAGAAAAGTTTTTTTTAAACACATTTCTAAACAGTTTTAATAACTAATTTCTAATAACTGATTTATTTTATCTTTGCCATGATGACAGTAAATAATATTTGACTAGATATTTTTCAAGACACTTCTATACAGCTTAAAGTGACATTTAAAGGCTTAACTAGGTTAATCAGGTTAACTAGCCAGGTTAGGATAATGAGGCAAGTTATTGTATAATGACGGTTTGTTCTGTAGAAAGTCGGAAAAATAATTAGCTTAAAGGGGGTAATAATTTTGTCCCTAAAATGCTTTTTAAAAAAATGTTAAAACTGCTTTTATTCTAGCCGAAATAAAACAAATAGGACTTTCTCCAGAAGAAAAAATATTATAGGACAAACTTTGAAAATTCCCTTGCTCAGTTTAACATCATTTGGAAATTTTTTAAAAAGAAGAAAAAAATAATAATAAAAAAATCAAAGGGGGGCTAATAATTCTGACTTCAACTGTCAACGAGTTCCAAAACATGCTTTTACATCTTTCACTCAAAAACCCCGTCAGAAAAGTCTGGTGTCTGCTATAATGTTAATGTTGTTTTTGTGCGTTTACATAGATGAAATATAATTGGGATTGGGCCTAACAATGTTTTTATGAAGCCCTTTTTTATGTAAATGCTCATTGTTTTAAAAAAGTAATTTTATTTTATACAGTTTTGATCAACCAAATACAAAGCTAAAGTTAATTTTTAAATAAAATTGTAGTAACCCTTCACTTTTAAACGGTGGTGCATCATGTCACACCCCATGAAATAAAAAGTCAGGGCAATATATTTTAATGGTAGTGAAACAGACCTTAGGAACACAACAAGAACATCATTTTAGCCCTATAATAAAGACACTAAGGTGTGAGTAAAAACAGCAAACGCAGCCAACAGAGCACATACTGACAGCCTCAAATCAGTCAATGAAGACAACATGCACTGGTCAAACGTTGCTTCATCTACATTTAAACCACATTTACTCCTTGAAGTCTTTAATAACTTCTGGCCACAGATGTAAGGACCCAATGCACCCTTTATTTCTTGTTTTTAAATAGGAAGAAAGAATCAGTAAGTTTAATGAATTACAGTAAATATTAGCAAAATAAAAACATTCAAGCACAGCAAAAGCTCTCACCATTCCTCTCAAGCAAGTGCGGGTCTGAATGTTTCTTGCCTATGTCGGCGAAGGAGCGCACGAGCGGGATGCGATTGCTGAGCTTCTTCTCGTTCTGGTGATGGTGTCTTTTCAGCACAGCGTCTCGTACCTTTTCTCTTACACTCTCATCCAGCTGCTCTGATGCCACCATGTTGTCTAATACCATGTCTGTGAACCGAAAGGGATTTTTTTTTTTAGACATGAATTTAGTTGATGCCAAGGAATATGGGTTCATCTATCAGCCAAACATTACCTGCTATCTCCTCAATGCTGTTTGCTCTCATGTCCAGCATGACTGTGCCATTGAGAATGCAGCTGCGCAACTCAAACAGGCTGTGCAAAGAAAGTGTGGCGACGTAAGGCTTACTCCAGCGCTCTCCTCCATCCTCTACATCCTCTTCAAACTTCAGCCACCTGAACCAAATTACATTTTAGGAATTAGGTATATTTTTGACAGTTGTCTGATGGCTAAACATTTAGGTTATTCAGAGTTTGCAAGATACACTGTGGTGCACTTGACAGGAAAAAAAAAACTCATATATATATGTGTGTGCATATATGTTACTATACAGGGCTAGAAATTGCAACAGTTTTGGTCTCGGATGTGCCTGAAATTTTATCTATGCAACCTCAAAATATATTTGAAAGCATTTGTGCGAGTGGATAAATTGTTACCGTGCAACCGGTTTCACTGCAAAATACATCTTTGCATCTAAATCGCCAAGCGCATCGCTCAGGAATGGTTTAAAACAGTTGACATGACAACTTGCTGCAGTGAACAAAGGCAGCAATGCTTGCCCTGCCTTAAAGCTCTTCTTATTGGCCCCCTGCTCTAGAACAGAACGCGAATGGATTGGTTAATATCAGCTGTTAATCACTCGGTTCCGATGACAGGGAGCTACAGCTGTGCAAATGTGAAGTTCTGGATACGAGAGAATGAAAATAATGCTGACAGATTTTGTTTTAGAAACCACCTAATGTTACAAATAATGGCACATCTGATTAGTGATCATGTGGTGAATGTTAATTCACAATTGACACTTTTCAAAGAGTGAATAAAGACTTCCAGTGGGTTAAAGTCCTCTATAAAATAAAGTCTAAAGTCATTGCATTTCAAATGCAATAAATCTGTTTATTATATATATATATATATATATATATATATATATATATATATATATATATATATATATATATATATATATATATATATATATTTATTTATTTATTTATTTATTTAAAACTACTAAAATATGAATTATAAAATTCTAATTAAATAATGATAACAACAATAATAATATATTCATTTAAGAAAACTATTTAATTAAAAAGACTAAAATACTAATAATTGAAATGTTTTATTTAAATAATAATAATAATAATAATAATAATAGTAGTAGTAGTAGTAGTAATAATAATAATAATAATAATAATAATAATAATAATAATAATAAATTAATTAAATATAATTAATTAAAAATACTTATCTACTAATTATAAATTATAATTAAATAATAATAGTTATTGTAATAAATAATATATTCATTTGAAAAATATTTAATTTAAATACTAAAATACTAATAATTGAAAAAATGTTATAATAATAATAATTTTTTAATAAAAAAATAATACAATTATTAGAAATAGTTTAATTAAATGTAATACAAACAATTTAAACCACACTTTCAAAAAAAGCACACAACGTAAAATATGAAATTATACATATGTATAACGTGATTATAAGCATCAGTAAAAAAAAAAATGTAAAGTGTATTTCACACACTATTTATTATTATGCTTAAATGTAATGTACATTTATTTATTTAAACATTCCGTTGCATTTAATAGCTTTCTGATCTTTTATTTAAATTATTTAATACTTATTATCTTATCATTAATTTATTGTATGCACTCTCTCGGCTTCATTTAGCTTCTCACCTGGCTGTCTCTTTCCACTCACAAGTGAGTCCATCGCGGAAGCACAGCTCGTCAAGCTCAGTGAAGAGGTCATGAGGAATGTGCTCCTCGTCATCATCCTCAGTGCCGAGGATAAACTGGACCCTCTGTGAAGGAGTGTCTGAAGCCACCAGTGGAAAAGCACAGAGCCAAAATATTTACACCAAGCAAATAAAACAGATAGATTAGCCCCATTATGACCTGCTTTTCTTACCGTACGTTGGTGAATCTCTGCCGTCCTCTCGCTCAGAGCATCTGTCTTTCCTTTTCCGATGGTGCTTATGACCACGGTGGCGGTGTCTCCTTCTGCTTTGTCTTCCTAAAGGTACATGTACGCCAACATAAACTGCTCTGTGACCTGTAAAGAGAAAGACATTAGAACTTTGTCCTGTAATGTGAGAGATAGGAAACTCTTTTGAGATCCATAATACACAAGAAAAGGAGTGCGATACAACAAACAGCATTCCAGACACACAAGCTGAATAATTCATTCTACAAACTGCTAATCCCAGCAATACATATTCCCTGAGGCACATTTTAATGCACACCAAAAATAGAGATCAATAAACAAATGAGCAATGAGGAAAATGGTCTACTAGCAAATTGCATCACATTTGTTTAAATAACTTAAGCATAATGGCCAAAAGTGATAAGCATAATACTTTTTTAATGACTCTACATATTTAAAGGGATAGTTCACCCAAAAATTCATAATTTAAAAACTGTCAATGTACTTTTCATCCACTTATTCTAAATGTATTTAAGTTTTTTATGCACGTTTGCACACACCCTGAGCATAAACTACCTGACAAAGGTCTTGTCGTCTATCCAAGTTTTAGGAAACATCATTTGGTTTCAGAAGTTGCTCATATGAAAGGCAAAATCCTCTAGATTACGCTTATTTTACCAAAATAAAATATGATTATGCATTGATTTTTAATTATTTAATTAGAAAAGTAAGGTATGACTATGCTCAGACAAAAGTCTTGTAATTTAAAAGAAATAATGTACAGTATAGAATATAAAGTCATGGTGCAGTGGAAAAAGAATTAATATTGTGTTTGACTCCCATGAGCTTGGAGGACTGCATCTATACATCTCTGCAATGACTCAAATCACTTCTTAATAAACTCATCTGGAATGGCAAAAAAAAAGCGTTCTTGCATGGCTCCCAGAGTTCATTAAGATTCTTTGGATTCATCTTCAATGCCTCCTCCTTAATCTTATCCCAGACATCCCAAACTCTGGTTACTGGACTGGCCAATCCTTGACCTTCTTTGCTTTCAGGAACTTTGATACCCTCTCCTGTGGTTTGTAATGTAATGGGCAGCACAAATGTTTTGATACCTCAGGCTGTTGATGTTGCCATCCACTCTGCAGATCTCCAACACGCCCCCATACTAAATATAACCCCAAACCACCATTCTTCCTTCACCAAACTTGACTGATTTCTATGAGAATCTTGCAGGTTCCAATATGTCTTCTGCAGTATTTGTGATGATTAGGATGCAGTTCAACAGATGATTCATCGGAAAAATCCACTTTCTGCCACTTTTCCAAATCATTAACTAGAAGTCAAGCATCGGGCACTTTGTTAGAAACTCTTCTACTGTATGTTTCTGTTTGTACAGCTCTCTTATATTTTTATACTTTCTGCTTTGTTTTTACAGCCACATACATTATATCCCAAGTCTATAAATATTTTATATTTGCTTTTATTTTCTATTGCATAACTTCTATTTCTCCATATTTTAGATTCTCATTGTAATTATTATTTTGTTATTGTTGTCATTTTAAGGTAACGAGTTGTTGTGTAAGCATTTCACTGCATATCATACTGTATATGACTGTGGGTATGTAAACGGCGAGTAAATTTACATTTTTGGCAGAACTATCCCTTCAGTTAAACCATTTAAATATGAAGGACACAAAGTTTGCTTAAAGGTATTAAACTAAAAAAGAATTTTAAAAGGCAAAACTACAGTTATAATCACAGTTATTATTTTGTTGTTTTTTTACGGTCAAAAAATGCATTGAAAAAATTTAAATGTCACAAAATCAGGACTCTAAAATAGCTGGTTATATAGTTCATTGGTTTGCCTTTGTCATTAATCAGTGCCCTTTCTCCCGCAGAGTAATAAATAAAAATAAAAAAGTGACACTTTATTTTAAGAATAAATTCTCACTATTAATAAATCATTGTTTATTTATAATTGGGCTAGGTGATAAAATTTGTATCGGTATTTATTGACCGAACACCATTTTCAATAACGATAAAAAAAATAATAATAATAATTCGATATGAAGTTTCAGTATGAAAACTATAGTTTTATTAAAATGTGGCTACTGAGAACGTGCAAGTCTGTCATTTCCAATGGAGGTGCACAACTTTCATGACACGAACATGAGCAACGCGTACAATATTTTCTAAATGCCGCGTATGCACCACAATTCATTAAAATGAAAGTAAATGAACCAATCTGCTTCACACTTTATATGGAATATAAACATTTTAGTAATAACAGCAGACTAATTACCTTAGACAAACACAGCGCATCCAAACACTGCAGCACTTTTTATTTTTTTCCATAAGCTTGCATCAGAGCAGCAGCAATGATTTGTCTGTTTGTCATCCTCTGAGAAAACAGTTGAGGAGACGATAAATAAAAACGGATGCAAGTATGTTGCCAGAGTGGCTTTTTGGATTCTTTTCTTGTGCATCCCAGCCACTAGCTTCCCATCTGAAAGATTTTTAGCATAGGGTGTAATATAGTCATTCATCTTCACAAATTGAAATGTTGTAGTATGCGTTTGAATAATGATGGTTGGTTCCTTTACATAAAAGCTCAGATTTGATCATCATAATTAATTTTGTTGACAGAGTTTGAGATTTACTGTATCATAATTATTCACAACTTACAGACGTTGATCTACCTTTATCATTGCACACACTTTGTTCTATTATAAAGAGTTCAGATATTTTGTTTAAATATTTTTGTTTTTGACTATTAAAACTATTAGCCTTAGTAATGTTGGAAAAATTATAATAAAGTGGTCAAATAAATAAAAAAATCCTAATATTCCTAAATGGATTGTTAAAAAAAAAAAAAAAAAAAAAAATCAATCAATGAAATAATTATCAATATTGAATGATATAAAACATGATATCGTGATAACTTGTTATATCGCCTAGCCCTAATTAATGGTTATTAAGGTAGTAGATATGTTTAGGTGTCGGTTAAGTATAGATTCACCTCATTTAGTACACAAGAACATATAATATCCGCAATATGTTGATATGAGCTGATCTAAAACAAGATCTTAAACTGCTGTTACAACGTAAAGCTTTTTGGACTTTCACTCTAGATACTTCATCTCCAAGAGGTTTAAATAAGGAGTTAGACATTCGTCCTTTTCTGTAATAATTCTTTAATGTTTAATTAGGGGTTTGGGTAAAGTTATTTTGGCTATATATTTTGTTGTATATTTTTTGTTGTATTTCCTTGTTATATTCTGTTTTCTTTAATTTGTGATGCAATATTATGGTTTGTTTCTGTATTATCGTTTTAAATATCCAAGTTGTATAATTTATAAATGTGTACCTTTTTTTCGTTTTTCTTGTTGTGAGATAGTAGGAGATCATGTGATCCACGTGATCCAGAAGTGTACAAAAAGTAGTACCTTACTGTGATGAACACTGTCTGATGAAGAGGGGTGTGCTCGAAACGTTACATGATTTGTGTCAGCCTTTTTTAAATTTATAAAATGTTCATGTTTAAAGCTTTGGTGTTGCCGCTTTTTTGAATATATAAAGTATAGGGATGTAGAGTAAGATCATGCAGAATATGTACTTTATAACTACTAATAAACAGCCAATATCTTAATAACAGTCAGGCAATAAAAATGTAGTTAATAGTGAGAATTGGTACTTAAACTAAAGCGTTACTTTAATGAGTGAATGTAAAAAAAGTAACAATAATAATAAAAAAACAATAAATAAATTTAAAAAATTCAACATTCATTATTATTGAACAGCATAAGATATAGCTGGATATCTAATATGTTACTGATAGATTCACCCAGAAGACTCTAGCACCATGGAAGCAGGTTAAGCATGGTATTTTAAGAGCAAAGCCCTTGAGTAAATCGCTCTTACAGTATGTTCCAGTAGATAGTACATATCCCAGAGTTCTGCGAGCAACCCTTTTCAATTCCATACACCTGAATCTGATACTCTTTAACAAACCAAACAAGAAAAGCTTCCGTGCTTTCAACAAAGACAAGAATAACTGTCTCTGTCCTGCTTTAAGTACAGCTTAAAAGTTAAATCACCCCCCTATGCTTTAGTTTTTGTGTTGAAGGTAGAATTCTGGGAAGCCGTGGCTGCCTGCGTCACGGGAATGATGTCAAAAGGAAAGAAAACACCGAGCGATTTAAAGTTTCATTCAGTCTGCTGTTGTGCAGAGGGTGAGGGTGGGAATTGTGCGAAGCATGTGTGGTCTGTGTATACGCCTGCTGAGTCTACACCCATTTCACACGATTGTCTACGTGCCTCGAGTCCACAGCAGCTCTTGAAAACTTTACAGGCTAATAATAGCAATGCAATTGTGTCATTAAACCTACAAATCACAAGTTACATGACTCAATCCTTCAAAGAATTCAATCCAGAGGTGAAGAGAGTCACTGTTGGTTTCAATAGCCACCAAATTCAAATGTTCCCAAAGCACTTCATTAAAGAAGTTAACCTCAAATGGCAATAGCTGGATTTTGTTTGCATCCAAAACTGAGGCATACTGTATATAACCATGGTGAAGGCACAATGCAGCACATTCAACTGCAAGCAATAAGCAAAGGGGGTGGAGGTGGGTCGACCAATACTAAACCTTCCTCCCCATATTATCTCGACACTCCCCTAAACGACAGCTATAAAACAAGAGCCTGTGCAGAGCTACATGCCTGTGAAAACCCATCCTGGTCCTTGCTAATTATGATAATCAGTCTAGGAACTCGACTGGCAAGAAAAAAGCAGAAAATTATAAAGATATCAAAGCGAATGAGGAGCAGAAATTGGCAGTAAAATGACGTGACTCACTGATCTACGTCTGCGATGGTTATATCACAGATGTCTGGCAGAACGGCACGAAGAAAGATAAGAAAAGAATCCTGTCTAGAACTTATGCAATATTTAAAAAAGGAAAAAAAATGCTAGTCTTCACTGATTTGGACCAGACACTCCATTGATCACTAAAGTAGACATTAGGCAAAATGCTCATGCTGCTCATATCTATACAACACAATCTATACACATATACACAAATGCATTCATATATACAACTGAAACCAGAAGTTTACATATAC